CACACGGTACAGCGGCCACTGATTGGCCTACTGTACCTGCCTTGGGTGATTATGATGGAGAATTTGGTGGAATGAAGATTGCCAGGGGAAACCAAAGTATTCGGAGAAAACCTATCCCAGCGCCACTTTGTCCACCACAAATCCCATTTGACCAGACTCGGGTTTGACCCCAGGCCACTGCGGTGGGAAGCCAGCGACTAACCGCTTGAGATATGGTGCAGCCTTCCCTGTATGCTTAGAGTAGTGCTAAGTTTCAGCTCTTATTTTAAAATGTTGCTTTTTGTGTAAAGTGATTCTTTTGGTATGAAATTGAAGGGGAAATTTTGTATATTCGTTGTCCCACTTTGAACTTCCTGCGGGAGTTTTAAAACATTTGAATTCTTTGAAAAAGATAGCCTTCTGAAGAGGGTCTATATGACCGAAACATGTAAAGGATAAGATTGAATGGAATTAATTAGCCTTTTGTAACATCATTTCATACGTTTCTCATTATAAACGTTCGTGTTATATACAGCAATCATGACAAGAACTCAAATTCCATGGGAATTCATGCTCAACGTGTTGTACAACACTTCTAAACGCACAGATTTATAGTCATCTTGAAACACCAGCACTCTAAACCAAGAATCAGTTGAGTCCCTCACTTCGATCATATAAAATTTGGTATACAATGCATTTTAGAAATCTGGTACTGGTTGGGTTCTTTTCTGCTACTTGCCTTCACATGGTACATTTTGTTTCGGCCTTCGGCCTAAAATGGTGCATAAGAACACTGGCAAAGTATGCCTTTTTGTCCGGAAAAAAGAGCTACTTAATAACATGTAATAAATTCATTAACAGGTGGGAAAACTAACATGGTCAAAGTACAGAACGGTAACGTAACATATTCGTATCGGGAGTCCATACTTCATCGTAGGCTATGTTTGTTCCCAGTTAACACTCCAGGGTAATGGAACAAACTTCACAGCCTGAAAAGTTCCACCGTAACGTACAGTTCAATGTAAATGCGTCTAATACTTACTCCTAATTCCTTTACCTAAGAGGGACTGAGGCCATCACTTGCCAGCCGAAGCCTACATGGCTTCCATTACAATGAAATTGATACAACCACGTTCCAACTCCACTTGCAATTTTACCTAATATGCGCTAATATTGATGCGCAACCACTTTTTCATCTTGTTTGTATACCGAAAATCTACCTTCGAATTTGTAGAACTACATACAATACGTGCTTTTACGTTCGACAAACTGTAAAAAATACCTAGACCATATCTAAGATGTCCGATTACATACCCGAGGCCACGTACAAAAAAAAGCGTTACATTCATCACTACCTCAACTCCTGCCTTAGCCGGGAAAACAAAAGACTCACTTCCATTTTCCAACAATTCAAGCCTAAAGCTTACCTTGCAACGTTTCTCACTATCCACTCTTCTTAAAAAATCGCAAGGAACAACACTTTCTTTAGCGTCACTAGATTAACTTGCGGACAACAAAATACCAACAAATACAAGGCAAACAGCCTAGATCGCCTAGATGGCTTAGATGCGTTTCCAACGCTCACAGACCTCACAGATGAACACAGAACTCAGAGATGTCACAGATCACAGTTTGGCGGAGTCAGAGAGCAAAGAAGGCAACTTCTGACCACCAGATTGCAGGACTTTGTCTTTAGCACATTTGTATTCAGGTCCTTCAGGTCGATCACTTGGCATACATTCTAACAGAAGTATTGTGTAATGATAATCACTATGGAAGCTCGAAAATAAAGGTTACTTTGTTTTAAAGAATACAGCGGCAAAAGTTCTATGTCAGAGGATGTATGGTTTGTGGATAACAAATTGTTAATTTTCTCACCGAATGAAAAATGTCATTGGAACCTAAATTATTATCCGCTAATTTTCCAGAAAAAATGCAAACCACATATGACGTTTGTTGTATTAAACCTATAATAAGTCGTCTACGAGACCCAAAGGTCTTGGCATCAAGATGAACTGATTGGCAGTAAATCGCCAGTCAAGTAATTCTGGCTGGATTTCCCAATAATTTACTTTAAAATGAAACTAGAATGTATCGTTATAGGGTAAGGGCATGTCAATAAAAAGGCAGATATTTAAAATTGTACTTCAACAGTACAAATTATGAGTCTTTCTTCATAGTATGTAACATATCCAAACATGGGAATGTAAACATAAAAAGGTAGTTGTATCCAATTAACCAACCTTAAAGTGCTGAATTCTTAAGGTCATACACATATTCCAGCGTGTTACACCTGATGTAACCATTCTCCGAGGCTCTTCGGTACTGTCAGCACATTCATGTTGCAGACAAGGTGATAAGACCTTTGGTTTCAGGGACACAAAGAAGTCATACAGAGACAAATCTGGCAAGTTCGGTAGATACCCCAACATTAGCATTTGTTTGGACCAAAAGCCATTTTATTGAAAGTGCCCTATGGAAAGCACATTATGATGGAAAATCCACCCTTCCAATCAACGGTGTAGTATGGGAATAAATCAGCCAAGTATGGTGGCTGTTCCAGCCCATTCCCCCCACAAGCAGAATGTGGGCCAACTTACCTTAATTGGTACTGGTGTGGTTACTTCAAGTCCAGTGCAAACTGCATTACCTGCTTCCTGAAAAGGGTAAACCTGTCTCCAGTTACATATCATGATTATCATCCTTGCTTTTATTATATTTATTTATGAGATGCATATGCTTTGTGATTCAACATTTACACTTCATGCAGATCACTAAAAATATATTTAACAAACATTTAAAGGGAAAAACTATAAAGAATGCAGTCTTCTGGGATGTGGCGCCATGTAGTTCTTGTGTGAACCGACATTTTGGAGGAACATATCACCTCCACTTTCAGGGTAGAAAAATCTGTGAGCAAGGAACCACCGCTGTGAAAACCTCAAATCCCACATAGTGTTCCTCTATGGGGCGGCTACTCATTGACACATTTGACAAGTCAATATGCTATGAACCACACCGCTGTGAAAACCTCAAATCCTACATTTAAAAAGAAATTAAAAAATATATATGTAACACTACCAGTCAGCATATTCATAGTTTATAAAGCATACCTTACAACAAAAAATTCATTTGTGGCACTTCTGTCACTAGTCAGACTTCTCAAGTCATTTCAAAAACATTACATTCAAAAAGTGTACAAATTGTTTCATAATTCCAGAAAATCTGCACCTGGAGATCAGACTGCCATAGACCAATATGAAGGTACCTGGAGAGATACTACATAACATTCCTTCAAAAATTTGAATGCAGTGCATCTATTATTATTCTATACATAAGCACCTGGTATCTTTCCAGATAGGATGTAAAAATGTATTCATCAACAGCACACAGTCATAAATTACATTTCTACTGTTCTGACTTATGTAACGTTACAGATCAGGTTCATCCCATTCTGTAACGCAAACAATATTGACTTACGTACATCTAGCTCTCCAGTACAGATTACTACGTATTAATACACAAACATTAACACAGACAACCAGTTACTCAAGCACCTCACAGTGCTAAAAGTGGAAAAAATATAAATACATTGTTACTTTGCCATAGTTTCTTAAAGTAAAGTAAAGCTATCCCTGTAACAGGCCGTGAAGGTCCACAGGGTCTTGAGACGAGGGTCCCACATCTAGACAATCGGCTCATAGATGGCAGCAAGGTTGTCAGCCTTACGAATTGGCAGCACTTTAGTCCACAGGAAAATTATTTAATTAATTCCTGGTACTCATTTCTGTTAGAGGCTGGGTCAACCCCAGGGCCATAGTGCGGATGGAAGGATTAGGTCAACTGAAAAAAATCCAATTACCTCATCAGGACTTGAACCTGCAACCTTCTGGCTTGTAGCACACTGCCTCAACCAACTATCAAGCATAAATATTTTAACAGTTAAAAAATTTTAACTGAATATAAAATTCCATTTGATATTATTAAAACACTGCTGATGATCACATATAGCATTATGTTCCAAAGGAGGGCGAAACAGCTTAGGAATTACTGTAAGGAAGTAAACTGAGTTACAGTCATGTATTTAAACATCCTATTGCATTACTAAACTGTTTATGTACTACACAGTCCTTCAACAATTCAACAAATTGTTCCTTCTTTCGACACACCATGTTTCGGCCCTAAATGGCCATTTTCGGATGTCTTACTATGCTAACTGCTACACTGCACTAATATTGTCCATTCATCACATATGCGACTGCATGCTTCATGATTTAAAACGTCATAATCATAGTCGGTTGGTATGCACTAAAATAGCACATGCTGTAGTTCACTTAATTTAAATCAATATCTATTAAAATTTTCTTTAAATTTTGTAAAGGGGTGTCGTCCACTTGTTTTGATCTGTATCCTAGTCTTCAGATGTTTTATTGCGGCAGCCTATTTTTCTATTCGTAAGCCCATTGCTGTGTTACGTCTGCAATCTGTAATTTTGCCCCTTGCTTGTGCGTGGCCATCTTCAGGTGTCTTACAGATTGCAGACATACCATAACAATGGGCTTATGAACAGAAAAACAAGCTGCCACGAAAAAACGTTAGAAGAAAAGGATACAGATCAAAGCAAGTGGATGACACCCCTTGTGAGGTGTAATAAGAATTTTACAAAATTTAAAGAAAATTTTAATAGATTTTAATTTAAATAAGTAAACTACAACATGTGCTATTTTAGCACACACCAATTGACTACGATTATGATGTTTTAAATCATGAAGCATGCAGTCGCATATGTGACGAATGGACAATATTAGTGCAGTGTAGCAGTTTTAGCATAGTAAGACATCTGAAGGCCGCGCCATAGATCAAGCGGTTAGTTGCTAGCTTCCCACCGCAGTGGCCCGGATTCGATCCTGGGACTGGTCAAGTTGGATTTGTGGTGGACAAAGTGGCGCTGAGGCAGGTTTTCTCCGAGTACTTCGGTTTCACCTGCCAATCTTCATTCCACCAATTGCTCCACAATCACCCTCACCTATCATCTGGGGCTGGTACAATAGGCCAGAAGTGGCCGCAGTACAAGGGACTTAGTCCCACCCCACTAGCAATAAAAAAGAAGACATATGAAGATGGCCATTTAGGGCCAAAACATGTGTTGAAAGTGAAAGTGTAAGAAAGAAGGAACAATTTGTTGCAGTTGTTGACAGACTGCGTAGTACATAAACAGTTTTAGATTTGAGTTACAGTCAATTCAATATCGCAAGGAACAGAGTATTTGTTTCCACTTTCATCAGTTTACATAGTACAGTACTGATGCACTTTAAACCCCCTCACACATATACAAGGTACTGATAGGTTAGTGACTAGAATACTATCACAATGAAAACAGCTTCAGCTAGGAGTAAAAACATAACAGAGTTTCTTTCCAGCTTATAATATGTGGTACATTTCCAGCTGAGAAGCACTATTCAACAAATACGATGGAATATGGTCAGGAACTGTGAATACTATCCATCCTTTCAAGCAGTCTGGCAAACCAACTGATATGTTACCAATTAAGTTAAAATTAATTTCTCTTCAGTGTATGAATAAATGACATTTCTTAAAATGTTTTACAGATTACAAAATATGCCCATTGTAATGACCCCATCTTAGTACCAAGAAAGCTATTCTCCCTAAGGCCTACTGTTTACTGGAAGTGTTACAGATAGATCTGTGTGTGCTGTTAAGTGAAGGTAACTGAACTTAAGATTGCTTCACCCAGCCATTTTACATGCTCTTTAATGAAAGGATGCCACTGTCATGTACTGTGAAAGAACTTAGAGGGCAACAAAATGTTTGATTCCTTTGAGAGTATGGACAGGCTTTCAATTTCCAAAGTGATGCCTAGGGATGGTCTATAATATGTACTTCCTGCTATTCTTTATATTAAGCAGTCAATGGTCACAAAATGATTAATTTACACATCAGATTTTATGCTGAGTTTTGAGCCTATGTAGCTAGTCAGAAAGATGGCAATAGGTAAGAATGTGTTACTGAAAGTTCTGAACAGGGAATTTGGAATGGCTATGCCAGTGGAAGCTCAAAGCACAAACTTAGGATTTATGAAGGTATGTTTACATAATTTCCACAAAATAAATAACTTCAAAGTCAGTTTTGCTGGGTAACTAGAATATGAACAGCACATCAGAAGAGACACATCTCCTTTTATTGCAGTGGTTTATGCCACTACTGTCTCTGACAATATGATGAATGAGGTGATGGATGACAGAAAGGACCTACAGCTTAGCATGGGATAACAAGGGTTTGGTATTTCCCACAATACAGAAAGTTCTGAGATAAGGGAAAGGCATATACATACATTACTGAATGTGGCAGATCTCAAACCTCAATGGTCTGCATCAAAGGCAAGCTCTTCATATTTTGAAACAATTTTAAAACATTATTCTAAGATTTCTCATGCAGCATTTTATGGTTAATATAATAACTGGTTACACCACGAACATATTTCCAGCAGAAGACCCATGTTGCTGAATTGAATTTGTGACTGTTAACACTCTGCGGACCGCGCACCCTTTAAAAGGTTTTTTGCTTTTAAACATGGCGGACCGTTCGCGTGTTAACAGGTTTTTAGAACACGATAAGTTCCAACACACTATACATCACTCTGGCGCCACCTACATTGCACACAACCGCCTGCAGATGCGTGATAAGACTCTGGAATGTTTAGTTAGCAATCAGTAACTTGACCTCGTTGTTTACTTAACCGCCTATAAAGGAAAATGCTTTGCCTTCTTGAAGCTATGTGTATCAGCCAGTAGCTAGTGGGGAGAATGGATCAAGGACAAATTCTCCTCCGATGACCTAGCTGACCTGCCTTGTGAGACGCGTAGTAATGGATTAACTGTCATTCAGACAGCGACAGTGACGGGGGACAACAAACAATTGTGGCCACAGACAGTAAAAGTGACAGTAGCTCCGACAATAATGCGGGTCATAACATTGCGCGTAGTAGGAACATTGCGGAGACAGCAAAAAATCTAAAAAAAATCTAAACCCTGATTCAAAGTATTTCTGACGAATGTGGCAAAGGTCTGGGGTACAGTCCAGATGGTGGCAGCAGAACCAGGGTCCCACAAAGACTTAGTACGACCGGGCCCATCAACTCTCACCCCACAATGGCCTCATGTGGACCCCCCAGGGCGACTCTTGAGTGATATGTGGAAAAATACCCTCGTGAAAATTGTGAAGAGTGAACATTCCAAGGGGAAGAATACTCCTAGGCAATGCCGTGTTTGCACAGTTCACAAAAAAAGGAGTATGTCTACATTTGCAAGTTCTGTGTAATGCCACTTCACAAAGGGGAAAGTTTCCAGAAATATCACACCCTCAAGCACTTCTAGGAGCATTGGTAAGTGTTTTCCAAAAATTTTACTTCAAAAAATTAATTAGGAGATTTTATATTAATTTTTCAAGTGAACAGTGCACAAGTTAGGGTAGTATGTTTAAAAATGCTGGTCCCCAGGGTGATTTAAATATTTAAATCACAGGTCCGCGAAGTGTTAATATGCTTTACGGCCAAACAAGCGTATTTCTATATTAGCCCCTACACTTTAAGGATAGTGTAAGCAATAAAGCTGATGAGACAAAATACCCCTTCAGACAGAAAATCTATTGCATTCTAGAACATTTAGATTAGGCTAGTAAAGTTCTGTGAAAGATGGGTTCCAAAAATGCTCATGGCTGCACACAAAATGCAGAGAATGGTGTCAACTTCAACTTTTTTTAGAGTGACACCACAAAGATGGCAATAAATTTCTCAATCACATCGTATGAGTAACAGGTAATGAAACCTGGGTTTCGTTTCTGAATGTTGAAACCAAAGAACAGTCAAAGCAGTGGATGCACACACATTCACCAAAGATGCTGAGAAAGTTTAAACAAACATCTGCCTGACTGAAACTTTATGGATGGCAACTATTTTCTGGGACAGGAAAGGAGTGCTGATGGTGAAAGTCGAACAACAAGGGACCACAATACTGTCATAAGTGTATTGCAAGACACTAAAAAATTGCATAGGGTCATTCAGAACAAAAGGCATGGAATGCTGACATTTGGCATAGTGCTCCTCCATGGCAATGTGCGTTGTCTTGTACACCAGCATATACAGTATATGCCTTGTAAATTTCTGAATGACCCCTGTCCTTGCACCATTATTAGTTGTTGCTAATTGACTTTGGTGACTTCTTGAAGATTTTGCACATGTAAACAGAACAGATATCTAGCAAATTATAAAATGGAATTATGAGTCAATCTGTCTTCATAAATATGTACTTTGCCTCGCAAACTTCATTTAGTAGAATATTTTGTGACCTGATATTTCTTTGTTTCAAAAGAGTACAAAATGTAAGAAACAAGGCATGCAGTTTTATAAGTTACCATCACAGATTTCACACACAACTGTAATAATTCTAAGCAACAAACTGCATATTTGCAAAGTTGAAGAAACTGTCAACTTGTTGCTGAGAAATTTTGGGGTTTGTACTCACATACACCAGGCCAGTGGATCCCATACCTGTTGCTATTCTAACAGCCACCTGTGCAGAGTGAAAAACATATTATCACAAATTATGATATATAATAAGTGGAGGGAATTTTATGTTCATATATTTTAAATCCCAGTGTTACTTCTGTGCATCCTACATAGATTTTTACCTGCATTTCCCAAGTTCGCACAGTCCCAGTTATCTTTCTTCACAGCTCTTATCTGAATCATGATGATGAGTAGGATGATGAAGGTAATGAACACACAAAAATATTGTAACATGGAAGCCAGAAGAGACAGCCACTGCTTGGCAATAACACAATAAATATGCAGTATCATCAAACAAGTAGCTCCTGCTATACAACAGCAGGTATACACACTATGCCATCAGAAAAATAAAAGCCACTGGTATTCAATGGTTGGTAAACAATGACTATGAGATGATGTTTTCTATGTAGTCTGTGCCGAGGACACATAATGGACAGAAACCAAGGAGGCCCCATTTTGAAACGCATACATGTCTAGGAGAGAATAAAAATCTTGGTCGTAGATCTCAAATTACCAATCTAAACCATGTGTCTAGTCACTAAAACATGACAATATCTAGGCCCTAGACATGTTCTGAACACATAAGCCTAGTGTGTTTAGTTACTCTTGCAGCCACAGGCATTACTTGTATTTTTAGTTTATTTAATGATGCTGTAAATAACTCAAATTCCGGTCTAGAAAACCGAAATTAACGGCAGTGGGGATTCGTTGCGTTGACCACGTGACACCCTCTATCCGCTAAAGTTGGCACTAACTTCACCGACAAGCGGAGATCGCTCGGTCGGTATAGTTCACTTGCAGACTACAGGCCACAGAGTTTTTTTTTTTTGAAGTAACTCAAATTACTAGCTATGAATGGGTGTGTGGTAGCAAATCATGATCGGAAAGGATGCGGAATAGAGCAGTCATGGCCTAATTCTAAGGTACTAGCTTGGGATTTCCCAGGATGGACCAAGAAAACCACAAAAACCTCAGTCATGACACTTGATGCCTTGGCTGAGATTCAAACCAGGTATCTCTCAGATACAAGTTGGAACCATTAAGTCGTGACCCAACTTACTTGGTCACTGCCATCAGCCTCAGATTTACATTCTTCACTTATAAAGATGAGTGTATACTACAGGTAAGGAGGGATGCAACCTCTATACTGTAAATGCCACTGTTGAAGAACCCACAACTAAACAAATATGGGCTCGAGGTGGGCGGGACATGCAGGGTTCACTTCAGCATGCTCACAAACAGCAGTGCCTTTGCCTTTGATCTGTCTGCGTACAATTGATTCAATTGCTCTAAACTGATTTCACGAAATTTAGGATTCAATCATTGCACATTACTACATCAGGTCAGAGAAAGAAGCAACATAGTTATTCAACCATCAATCTACCTAGCAGCCACCTCACCCCAGTAGACCTTCCCCTACTCCCACCATCATCTGTATCCTGGTTTAGTCTCATGAATTATCACTGACAAATCAAGTCATTTCATATTATTAAAATAAATTAGCCATAATATTTACTATAAAATTATCTCATTAAACTCAGTGACAGTAACAATTATAACATCATCATCATCATCATCAGTAATCTGTCAAGACGACAGGTCCACAGTCTCTTTCAAAACAATTCCTCCACTTAATGCGATCTAGAGCTTTCTCCTTCAAATGACAGTATCCTCTTCTGTCCCCAAGGTCATCCAGCATCTTCTTACGTCTTCTTCCTCGTCTTCTTGTCACTTCTATCCGCCCATCTATCTTTCCTTCGATAGCTTCTTTTAGAAGGCAGTTTCTGCGTAAAACATGACCAATCCAATTAGCCTTCCGTTTTCTTATTTCATGTAGGATATTCCTCTGCTCACTGACTCTAATTAACACTTCTTCATTTCTCACATAATCGGTCCAACTGATCTTCTCCATTCTTCTCCAACACCACATTTCGAAACTTTCCAGATGTTTCTGATCTACTGCCCTAAGTGTCCATGTTTCAGCCCCATACAGAGCTATGCTCCAAATGTAGCATTTCACTAGTTTCTTCCTCAAATTTAAGTCCAATTTGCTGGTAAAAAGATTCTTCTTCTTGCTAAATGCAGCTTTTGCCATGGCAATCCTGGATTTAATTTCACAAGTACACCTTCCATCATCTGTTAACAAGCTACCCAAATATTTAAAACATTTCACATTCTCCACTTGTTTTTGGTCTATCTTTATTGTGACTGGGGTTGGTTGTCTCGAAATTTTCATTACTTTTGTTTTCTCCACATTCATTTCCATGCCATAGCACCTTCCAATTTCAATTAGTCTATCAATCATGCCCTGTAGCACAGTTTCTTCCTTAGCCATTAACACAAGGTCATCTGCATATTTCACAGTTTGAATAATTTGCCCTCCTACTTTGAAGTCACCGAGCCCATCCAGAGCTTCCTTGGTAAGGCATTCGCTGTACAAGTTGAACAGAATTGGTGATAAACAGCATCCTTGTCGAACTCCTCTTCCAATCTGCACACTTCCTGTCTCCCCCCTGTCCAGTCGTACTCTAACTTTCTGATCCATGTACAATTTGCTAATCAATCTTCTTTCATGCCAATCGATACCTGTTTCTTTCAGGATCTGCATTAATTTGGTCCAGTTTACCCGGTCAAATGCCTTCTGCCAGTCTATGAAGCAAACACACAGTTCTTCATCTATCTCCAAAGTTCGTTCCGCTATAATTCTCATCATCCCAATTGCATCCCTGGTTCCTTTTCCTCTTCTAAATCCAAACTGATCTTCTCCAAGTACATCCTCTATTTTCCTTTCAATTCTTCTTTTAAGTATCTTTGCTATTATCTTTGCTGTATGTGCAATAAGACTTATTGTGCGATGGTCGCTGCATTTTGTAGCTTTTGTCTTTTTCTTTAAGGCAATCATTGTAACTTCTGTAAAGTCCTTGGGCCACTCTCCACTTTCATATATGGTGTTCATTAGTTTTGTCAGTGTTTTCAAACCACCTTCTCCCAGTAACTTGAGCACATCTCCAGGTACATCATCATCTCCTGTAGCCTTTCCCTTCCTCATTTCCTTGATAGCTTTTTCCACCTCACTTTGTAAAATATATGGTCCTTTCTCGTCTGTATCTACTTCTTCTTCCGGTTCAACTTCTAAGGTTTCTGGCCGATTAGGTCGATCATATAGTTCTGAAATATAATTTTCCCAAATTTTCAGCACTTGCCTCTGATCTACTATTCTATTCCCCTGGGAGTCTTCGATGCCAACATTTTGAATCCCATGATTCTCTTTCCATCCTAGTTCTTTTGTCTTCATGTACATCAAATCATAACGGCCTGTTCTTTGAAATTCCATAATCTCATTACATATCTTCTCAAGATATTCCTTTTTGGCCCTGTCCGTGGCTCTTTTCAATTCATTCCTCAGTCTCCTGTATTTCCTCCTGCCTTCTTCATTGTTGACATTCTTCCATTTCCTTCGCTCCTCCATTTTACTCATCATCTCCTGTGTAACCCATGGTTTTCTTGCTATCTTCTCAACTTTACCTACCAAATCACTGATAGTATCTAACATGCATTCTTTTATATCGTTCCACTGCGCTTCAGCATTTCCGCTTTCACCTTCAATTGCACCGAGTTTCTCTTCTAGAGTCTCTTGCACGCTTTGTCTTTGAGCATATAACTTCTCCAAATCCCATCTGGGTCTGCGCTTTCGAAATCCTATAATTTTCTTCAACCTGGTTCGGAACTTGGCAACCAGCAAGTTGTGGTCAGAGTCAATGTCTGCCCCAGGAAGCGTCTTCACATCCTTCACACTGTTTCTGAATCGATGTTTCACAAGGATGTAGTCCAGCTGATGCCTCTTCCAATCCCCAGGTGCCTTCCATGTGTAAATTCTTCTCTTTGGCTTCTTGAACCAAGTGTTGGTAACAATCAATCCATTTCGTTCACAAAAGTCAATAAGCATTTGACCTCTGTGATTCCGTCTTCCTAGTCCATGTGATCCAACAATATTCTGATATGGTTCATCTCCAACAATGCTGTTCCAGTCTCCCAATATGATGCTGTTTGTGTCTCCTCTTCCATCTTCCTGAAGAATTTCTTCAATTGTGTCATACACTTTTTCCACTTCATCATCTTCATACTCTGATGTTGGCATGTACACTTGTATAATCAGTATATCTACCGGTTCCGCCTTTAACTTCAGAGCAATAATTCTGTCATTACAAGCAATCTTCTTAACAACACTCCTCACTACACTTTTATGCACCACTATTGCCACACCTCTTTCAGCCCGTTCACCTCCGGAATAATACACTGTATAATCACCGCTTCTTATTTCACCTTGTCCTTTCCACCGCACTTCGCTGACACCTAGCACAGACACTTCATTCTTCTGCATTTCCGTTTTCAAATTCTCCAATTTTCCTGCTTGATTCAAGGTCCTGACATTCCATGTTCCAATCTTGTATCCATGCTGTTTCTTCTGATCTTCGCACTTTTTCTTGTTGTAACGCCTGCATGACATTTCCTCTAGAAACACTCCCCCCCGGAGATCCGATTGGGGGAGTAGTTTACCTCCGGATTGTTTTGCCTCCAGAGGAAACATCTCGCATATATGGTATCTCTGTTTTTGGAAAGAGACTATCCAGGAAAAGAACAATTATAACAATGTATAAAAATATACTAATTGCCCTGTCAACATGAGCAGTTAATGAAGGGAAGATGTACAGTATGGATATGGTGGAGGACCCAGCAGCCAACTTGAACCCCAATATTTCATTCCTCAANCTAAGGACAATTATGACATGGCGAGCGAGTATTTTGTACTTCAATTTTATGGCTTCATGTCATTCACAAGTTAGTTTTATGTTACGTACATTATTAACATTACAAAATCCACATATTCCTGCCAGTTTTAATATGTATTTTGTAATCAACAAGTGTGCAACGCCGGTCAAAGTCTGACACTTCTCTGGCCATTATCTCCGTAACCGTTCAACTTTGGACATAGGTGTTTTGGGTTATATCGGCATACTTTAACATAAGGAACACCCTCCCAAAGTTTGGTCCATTCCTCCTGGGACACCCTGTATAGTTACTAATTTAAATTTTCAATGATACAGCTTTAAGTTGCAGCAGTTCAACCATTTTCTAAAGAAGACAGAAGTGAAGTTGATAATTTATGATAAAAGAGCTTATATTTATTATGTTGTACATTCATCCATCTTAGAGAGATAGGATGGGATGGTATGGATTGGACAGATCTGGCTCAGGATAGCGACCAGTGGAGGGCTCTTGTGAACATGGTAATGAACCTTCGGGTTCCGTAAAATGCTGGGAAATTTTTGAGTAGCTGCAGAATTGGCAGCTCCTCAAGAAGGGCTCAGCTCCATGAGTAAGTAAGTACATTCATGCTGTTATAGTTGTTGTTACCTTCTGACATGATTGGATACAATTAGGACCACTGCACTGCAAACCAACCACAAGACCTCGCTGTACCACACTGTTATAGGAGTTTGTTTTGAAGACATGCTCAGCACCAGCCTGCTGCATTTGAATTTCCTTGCTCATCAACAGCAGGCAATCTGGCTAAAACAAAATTGTACTTCGGAAATTAAAATCAGATGGAATTATAGCATATCTTGCGAGCATTAATGCAGTTAACTGTTATTACTGTGTTCATAATACAGGTTTTGTCTCCAGTCTATCAGCAGGCTATTGTTCTGTTTCCAAGCACCTTCAAATGCCAATAGAGAAGATACATGTAAAAAGCTCCTGATTTAAGTCATTTTGGGTACAGTGAACTAGAGCACTTAAGAATGACAAAATTCTCCATTAAAACCCAAAATTTGGGGCAACACAATAGCTGTTGGTATGAATCATTCAAAATCTTAATAATATTACATTTTCCAAGAATTCTGAAGCATGTTTCACCCTGTATGGGCAATGTCCAACCGACAACCATGTGTAAAGCAAAATTTTGCATTCCATAATGTGCATTCAGCATTCTGATTCACACATTTAATAAGGGGATATTCACTGTTAATACTGTCCTTAATACTGCACTTGCATTTTGCCATTTTGGAGGAAAACAGATAAATTCTCACATGCTCTCACAACACAACATAATGGCCAACAAAGAATGCAAACAATGATATAAACAGAACTTCATTCTCACACGCTCTCACAACACAACATAATGGCCAACAAAGAATGCAAACAATGATATAAACAGAACTTCCATTATGAAAACAAATCAAAATACTACAAACATAAATGAAAAAAAAAATATATATATATTGCCAACAGAAAAACTAATAATTTTTCAAAATGTGTTTTGTGATTAGCCACCAGGAATGGTAACATCATTATGGAAATGCCAATTACAGAGAATAGCACCTGTTACTGGGTGGTTATTGACAGAAATTAAGTTTACAGAAGAGCACTTAAAAAGTGGGACATTTCAAATAAATCAGGGGCAGCAGGGCATTATAAAAAACAGGACTCTCCTGGGAAAAACTGGAACCATAGTCTAATCTCATGGTGCATATAACTACAACAGAGAAGTTACACACATCTAAACCAATAAGTCAGTAATTAAAGGAACTGCCAGTATGCAAAATAGCACAAAATAAAATGACAAGATCTTTACATTTTCAATCTTGAGTGAGTTGATAAAGGCTTTTGCTCGTTGCACTTGCTGACCATCAGAAAAAAAAGCCACCAAGCATGATTCTCCAGTTGGTGTTTTATGTGGACCCCACGTGTGAGGTACCACACTCTTCTCTTCTAATAGTGATGTATTCATCCTAAAACAAATCACAGAGTTCACTTGTCATACCTTACATCACATACAAGATATCAAGCACTTAAGGCATGCCTCAACACTGTCCATGAGAGGAAATAAGCAAATTTCAATGTGCACGGAAGAATAAAAAATCAGTCGGCTGTAATATTTCACAACTGCACTTAAACTTGAAGATATTATCCAATCACTGACATGTGCTCAAAGTACAATGTTCTGAACTAGCATTTTATGCATTATTAGGATTTTTTTAACCCACGCATCACTGACACATGCACATATACATCCTGAATTTCATTTTTAAAATAAATTAGTTCTGGCTGAATTTGTTTAAAAAACTTTACTAATTAACTCAAATTTTTAAAGCTAATTAATGATATTAATCATAAATTTTATGGCCATACTTTACTATTTCTGTAAGGTTAAAGTTCCATAACCTGAAAGTCTGTAGTGTGGGGGCACACTGTAATGTAGGAATCAGAAAACAGAAAAAAAGGCAATGAGTCTTAATTCATGATTACAAGATCCCCACACCTCCTTTTAATATTCCAAAGTGGCAAATACAAATCCCTCATTTTAAAGAGTAATTACTAGAAGGGTAATTTGTATTTATTTTACATCTGCAGCAAGGAAATAAACATTCTCAAGTTCCAACATTTTAGGCACAAACTTCTCTGTTGTACTATATTTGCAAATTCTTAGGACCATACCTCTGTAATTCTTCTGAAGCAGGCAAAGAAATATAATCTTGTATTCTTATAGTATCTGGGAACAGGCACCAGTTGTTTTCTCCTTCAATGGGTGTGAAATCATGGATACTGCTCCAGTTATTATTAAATACACTTAATCCTGCTTGCTGAAAATGTTCTGGAACAGATAAATAATCCGGTATATATTTACTGTGTGGACATTCACGCCACTTAAATCTGAGATTTTCATTATGCTTCTACAGTCACCAGAAGACCTATGCACGATTCAAACATGCCAAATGGCCTATCAACTCTATGATGAGAAAACCAGAAAGTTCAATACTACTAAATTTCAGGGCTCCTCTCATTTCCAAACTCTTGTGGTTTCAAAGTTACATGAAATTAAAAAGGCCTCAATTATGTATACCAGTATATATATATATACCTTCCAAATCAGTGTAAAACAACTGATAGCAACCAAAATGGATACTGCTAGAAGCCTCTATTATTGGCTGAGTGGCACAGCACAAGAAGATATCCATCTTTCTGCAATCTCGAGTCCGAAATTGTCCACACGCTATCACACACACACATTCCTTGCAATCTCGTAAAAACACACTGGAAAAGGAAACATAAAATTATCTTTAACATCTGCACATTATCATGGCAAAGCCATTATCTGATGATAGTAATACAGACATTTCACAAAAATGCAAAATGCACAAAAACATGGCTGATGCGAATATACCTGCCCTTTACGGCTGCCAATATAATTTTACAGTTAATGCAATCATCAACTGTAACTGTATTCGCATGGTCAAATATATATATGCAAGTGTTTTTGCAGTTCTGAATTACAAACTGTTGACCATTCACTGAGCCCGGCATTTTTAAAACCTCACCATCTTCAGTATTTTCTACAGTGTAGTCTTTCAAATTTACTGCATTCCTTTTATCCCTAAAACACAACATAAACAAGATATCATTAAAATATCACACATCTCCTCTAATACTTTGCTTCTAAATATATATATATATGTGTGTGTGTGTGTGTGTGTGGCACAGTTCAGGTATTTGGGAACAACGATAACAGATCGAAACCTGATTCAGAAGGAAATTAAGAGGCGAATGAACTTGGGTAATGCTTGCTACAATTCAGTCCAGAACCTTTTGTCTTCTCATCTGTTGTCCAAAAACATAAAAATTAGAATATACAAAACTATAATTTTGCCCATGGTTCTGTATGGGTGTGAAACATGGTCTCTGACATTAAGAGCGGAACACAGATTGAGGGTGTTTGAGGTGAATATTTGGACCGAAGAGGGATGAAGTGACAGGAGGTTGGAGAAAACTGCATAATGAGGAGCTTCATAATTTGTACTCTTCTCCAAGTATAATTAGAATGATCAAGTCAGGGACGATGAGGTGGGCAGGTCATGTAGCACAAATGTGGGAGACAAGGAATGCGTATAGGATATTGGTGGGAAAACCAGAAGGAAAGAGACCACAGGGAAGACCAGGGCATAGGTGGGTAGACAATATTAAAATGGATCTTAGAGAGATAGGATGGGATGGTATGGATTGGATAGATCTGGCTCAGGATAGGGACCAGTGGAGGGCTCTTGTGAACATGGTAATGAACCTTCAGGTTCCATAAAATGCTGTGGAATTCTTGAGTAGCTGCAGAATTGGCGGCTCCTCCAGAAGGGCTCAGTTCCATGAGTAAGTAAGTAATATACTTTATACATAAAGATTACAATACCAACAATTTCCATAAATGCGGATAAACGTTTTTCTTATGTTCATCAGCAACTCAGCATCTTGATCATACCAGACATGGCAGTCAAGACAATAGCACTTCTTCGAATTCTGCAGATTCGACCAATATTATGACTATGGGTTTTTTTCCTTTCCCAAAGTCTCTCCAGCCAAATGATGATAGTACTCCGAAATAGGCCATAACCGGGATAATGATATACTTTCCACTTTATTATTTACTGATCACCCTTTCGAGAACCTAGGTTATTATGAACTGATGCATGGTTCAACGAAGGGTGTTCAAAACTATTAGATCAAAAGAAACAAACTAAATTGCAATGGTTACAGGATCTGAGCCAAATAAATGGGGATAATCTGAACAGTGTAAGATGTCAAGCTAGCAGATATTCCAGGAACACACTGTTTCACGTTTGAAGTAGCCTGTGAAACAACGTCCACACATATTACAAACTACATGAATGCAGCAACCGTACTTACCATGAATATTCTTTCAGCTTCGCATCTTCTTTCCCAGTAACGCTGGCATTCTGTCTTCCTTTGTGGAAAAGGCATCCCATTTTTCTTCAATAATTCACGCGGTATAAAAGGCTAAACAGAAGGTTAAGTGAAATATTATTCAATAAACACACATATCGACTATGAGATCCTCAAATACTCCATACTCCTTATGCCTTGAAAATCAGTACAGTACACTTCGCTTTCACCACTGCCATGCTGTTTAACTTCATTACAGGCAGCTAAATAAACTCATATTCATAATCCACATAAAATTAACTAACATCAAACTACACAAACCTACTCATTCGTGAAAATTTGTCGATAGTTGTAATCGTTGTGGTGGGCACAATCGAATGCAATCGAATAATTCGATTGTTAACAGGGCGTAAAGCAAGGGGGTGTAACTCACATAGGGGAGAGGGAAACATGCAGACCAGCCATCTATGAACATTTACATGAACTAGGTAGTCTGGTAATGACTGGAATCGATCATTATACACCTATCGCATTCAATCGAATCGCGTAAGTGTGAGCCAATCAGACGATCTTAAATTTCCGTTGAACGATTTTGGCTCTTCGGCGGGGGGTTCCCACAGTAAAACGGAGTAAAGTGTACACCTGTGTGTATAAGAGTAGAACTTTTATCCATGGTATCTACTGGAATATTAATTGAACCCTGCAATCAGTTGAAAGTCAACCGAAGTTTCAGGGCGTTCACCATATTCAGGGTCAAACAAGAAACTAACACGGCTTTAACGACTACATGGCGTTATATTCCAGAAGACAGAAATCTTCATAAATACGATGTGAGAACCTCAAATGCTACGCGTGTGTGTAAGATCTGAAGCTTTCATGGCAGCTAAGATCATAAAATCTACTTGGGCCATTAGCCATGTCAACTGGTTAAAGTTGTCCAATGTGTCAGGGACCTACTGTCCCCAACAACAGGATCCATATCACCGAAACGTCGGTCATTTTAGACCAATTAACACGGCTGGTAATCAGATTTTGAAAATTATAGAAACTACTACTGCTTGCTCTTCTTTGCCAATTCTTGACACCTGCTGTGCAGTTTGGCCAAGAGCACACCAAGGAAATTGGTGACCGCAATTTCCGAGAAATGCCGATTTCAAGCAGGCGCCCACTGCGAAATCCATCTTAAGCGATCTTAAGTGGATATGTTCTTCCGACGTAATGCTTGATTGTATTTATTTAATTTCGTGCATTCACCTTCTACAATGGATCCTCTCATATGGTGGTAGTTGAGACTGTAAAAGAGGGCTACGACCATAAGGAAAATATTGGAATGTTTTAATTTATTTTAATTAAGGTCAATTTGTTTTAATCGGCAAATATCTCGTTCACACCTGATACGAAATTTTGATATACAGTGCAACTATTTTAGCAAGTTAGAAGAAAACGGGAAGAATTGTTCCTCAGTATTTCCGCGAGTTGCGTTGCAGTTTCCTCAATTTGCACTACTCCATTCAGTAACATGTGTTAAACTCAGGCTGATAACAGTTCTCGGAAATTGCGGTTGCCAGTTTTCTTGGTGTGCCAACCTACCTTTTAGGTTTACAACCTTGCTAATAGCCTCCTAAAATTTCCTGTCCATGCATCTGTTCACATGAACTCAAGAACCACTGAACAAATTTCCATCTAATTTTATAGTGGGAAATCTTACCAATATATACTGACACACTGCAGTTTTGGTTATAAGCAGGCAGAAATAAGGCACATCACATTAAAAAACATTCCAAATAAAAGTTGGAGAAAAAATACACAGTACACTTTTTATGGGTCTTGGCAGTTTTGAAATAACTGAACACAAATTACAGTATGCATACAATTCCTAACTTGTATATTCAATAATAAACAATAAATTTTCTGAGCACATGCAAATCTTACAAAGCTTACTCCACATTAATCTCGTTAGTCTGTCTGCACTAGTCTTCATGGATTTATAACAAGAACTATAACAGTCTCAATTACACTCCAAATGTTACACACAACTATTCTTCTAATCACAAGTTAAGTCTTCACAGGTAGACTTCTAATTCTTCTTCAACCATGAACTTCTGTGGCTATCTCCTACAGAGAACTGACTTGCTTGCTTCACATGCTTCTACCACTACTACTATTCAAAACTCGTAACTGTCCCTAACGAATTGTCACTTACTTATATAGCCACAAAACGAATATGGACCTACAGTAAAACATATCACTTGATCACAATCCAGTCTACTGACACGTCAAATCTACAGAAAATGCAGCTTCCTCTATTGTTGCGTGTTGAACCGTGTTTACAGAGCTGTTGCCTGGCAAGGTGTTGATCAATTTCATTATAGTATGAAAACAAATTAATCTTCAAACCAGAATGTTATAAACATTAGCAGACAACTGCTGAAAATGTAGATGAATGTTTGGCTCAGGCCTTTTAGGACTGTTTTCCAAGGTTTCAGCAAACTCTTTTTTTCAGCGTTAATGACTTTGGGAGAAGGTTGGTGGTTGATGAAATGTTGGAAAACCCTCAACATTCAACAGAGCCTAGTCCCAAAAATTTTAAGTTACCACTATACTTCAGCTGAGAAAACTCAAGGACTAAAATGCAGAGGAATGTAATTCTTTCATACTGAAGTGCCCATGCTCACAAAACGTTTGTTACTATCAAGAAGTAAACAAAAAATTTTATTCACAAAATCTTAGTGCATAATGGAAAGATTTAATCACTGTATCTTTAAAATTACAAAAAACAATGTCAATAATACCCTTTCAGTATTGATATATTTATGGTGTATGAACTTACACTTACAAGTTAAAGTTATTCATAATGAAATCTGAAAACACTTTGCCACATTTCTGAAATTGGGACAAACTTAAAGGCCTACATTCAAACCACAGGCAGTACATGCATTAATTTCAAAAATGTATGAAAAGAAAAATACAAAAACTTTGCATTTCCTTTGGTAGACACTGAAGGTGTGATACTGTGTTAGCCTTCATGATGCAGGGCACACTCAGTTTTGCTTCCTTTGTGCTCTTTGTGTTATACTCTGAAATGTCGACACTATGTAGCACCTCTGGCAGCAGGGATATGGGTCAGTATGGGACTCAGTTCTGGTGGTTGCATGAGAGTGATTGTTCATGGAGGACAAAAAAACTGCAATACGATTAGTGTCACTAAGGTCTTGTTCTCTCTTCTGTAGTTAAAACGTTTTTTCTGACTGTTTACCCTGGTGTTAGTGATGATAGTTGAAGAGTGCAACACTTACAGAAGAACCAAAGAACACAATCTTCAGTCACTTTGCACCATTCATATTATGGATTAATATGTAAGAATACTGATCAGCAGAGTCTACAGTGCGTATACAGGTGTTATAATCAGTGGTGCACCTTGACTTCACCTTTCATACTCATGGCCTTTTGCTTGGGAGTATCTGCAGTTTCTGCTGTGTGGATGTCAAATCATATGTATGAGTTGCTGTCCTCAGAAGCTGAGGGCAAGTATATCTTGTTTCTGTTGAAAAGTGACTTCACTTGATTTTAGCTTTTTAGATCACGCACAAAACAACTCAAACCAGATAGATCCACATACTCCAATGTTTCTGTCTAAGGGAGATATGAAACTCCGGGGCTCTGAGGCACCCCATCAAACTGTCGCAACCTAAGATAGTTGGTAAACAAACTCAGCTTGCCCAACATGTGGCAAGACTCTTTTGTAAATGCTGAACCAGCAGTTGTGGCAATTGTAGTAAATTCTGTTTACTGAAAAGTATGAAGAAATGCTGATGAGCAGAAGTCAACTATTAAATACCTTAGGTTAGGGATACCCAGAAGCCATTCGATAGACAGTTTTTAGGATGTGCCATCAGGCACTATGTCCATGGCCATCTTGATATTATTAGTGACAGTATACACAGCAGACCCTGCACTCATCCTAACAGTTAGTCAAGCCAAGCCATAGCAAGATAGCAGCTTCACTGCAAGTGTACCCACAGTGTGTAATCAGATAGCCAAAGAGTATACAGGGTGTCCCAGGAGGAATGTGCCAAACTTCGGGAGGGTGTTCCTTATGTTAAAAGTATGCCGATATGACCCAAAACACCTATGTCCAAAGTTGAACGGTTACGGAGATAATGGTCCGAGAAAAGTGTGGTCTTCTGGAGGGTCCACGCACTGTACCTGTCAGCTGGCTACTCTTATCTGTGTTTGTCCTTGAATGTGGTGATGGCAGCTCATGTTAGCCCCATACACTCGCATACCAGAACACACAGTCAGCAATGTTACGTCAGCGCTTGCCATTCACGTGTCATGTATAGTGCTTGGAACTCTTTTAACAACAACTTTGACATGGCGTGTGAGTTTTTTGTAGTTCAATTTAATGGCTTCATGTCACTCACAAGTTAGTTTGATGTTACATACATTATTAACATTACAGAAACCACATATTCCTGCCAGTTTTAATATGTCTTTGGTAAATGATACAAACTCCGTCCCAAGTGCAAACAATATATATTATATGTCTTTGATCTTGCTCTCTTCTACACTACATGTTTCGGCCTCTAACGGCCATCATCAGGTGTATACTCNACAGACTAACGGTACCTCTCTCTCCCCACTACCTATTCCCCCCCTACACTCACCAACATAAAACATAGCACACAATACATCAGACAGCACACGTAGTAAAGACAAGCAGCGGCACGCACACAGGAAGACTACACAGAGTAAGTACAAATAACAATATAAACACATAAGAAAACATTACGTACATAAAATAATAATACAAATATTCGTATATTACAGATAACACCTGTACGGTGTGGAAACAAGAACTAGCCGCTGCAGCACTTCAGACATAGGCGAGTAACCCTAACAATTTTAAATTTTAAATTTAGAGAAAATTTTTATGGATTTTAAAATTATAACTAAAGATTTTATGGTGCTACTATAGGAAAATCAAAATTGACGTGTGCAAAATAATCTACATACCAGACAGATATCAACGAAGTAGATGTTGATAATAACGAAGAAAATAACAATGTGTTTTTTAAATGTTAAATTTTAGACTGGGTTCAGTGTGGCAGCAACGTTAAGAGTATACACCTGATGATGGCCGAAACATGTAGTGTAGAAGAGGGCAAGATCAAAGACATATAATATATATTGTTTGCACTTAGGACGGAGTTTGTATCATTTATCGTGTAGAGTGCAACAGGATGCTTAAATATAATATAATAATGTATTTGGTAATCAACGTGTGTGTAACACCTGTCAAAGTTTCACACTTCTCTGGCCATTATCTCCGTAACCGTTCAACTTTGGACATAGGTGTTTTGGGTTATATCGGCATACTTTAACATAAGGAACACCCTCCCGAAGTCTGGGACATCCTGTATATAGAACCCAACCTACGATGAGTACAACTGAATATGATGAACAAACAATTTCAATATACTTCAGATGCATACTTGTAAATATTGTAAGATATTAATAATAATGTAAACAGACACCCCCTTGTGTTTCAAGTTCATTGCGGTACCCCTACCCGAAGATATACTTTTACAGTTAGAGACTGTATTGTGGCAGCAACCAGTGCAAATATGCTAAATTAAGTGTAGATCTCTCCTGATGCCTTGTTATCAAATTCCATACCTTGAAAGGCCAAATGGCTAGTGGGGTAGAGAAAGTAGATGTGGACAGAGGTAGCTAACTAGATCAGGGGGCAGACTGCTCAGCTACAGTCTGGAGGTAGCCCAGCTATACCATACACAAGGTGTCTCCATGCTCCTACCTACCCACCAACATAGCTGCCTTCTTCATTGAAAAAGCTATGGCACAACAGTGGTGTTACCAGTCTGGGATAGCACACCTCACCATAAAACACTGTTACAGTAACTGCCCTGGTAAATGTAGTAGCATAATCATGATGGGTTGCAGCTGTTCACTGTAACAACAATGTTCTGTGGCTTGTTTTGGCAACTCTGCTGCAATTTGCTGTTATGCATAGCCAATGGCTTTGTCAGGATCAGGGTTATAAAATGTTCCAGGAATTCAGTCTGCAGCTGTCTTTGAATGTGAACTGTACTGCAAGATTGGCAATAAAGATTGAAATGGTAGGATGATCCATTTTAGAATACCCTGACTAACCTGAGTCACCTGATGTTCTGAAAGGTCTTCTTCACTTTCTTATGATGGACTTGATGTGGAAATAAAAACTGATATCAGGATCACCATCATACAAAATGTCTGCAATTTTCTCTTCTGCTGGCGCTCATAATGTCTTTGCACAGTTACAATTTGTATTTTGGTGCAACCCATAGAAATAAAGGCGACACTGTGCATAAGAGTTCAGCTGACCCCATATTACTGCCTTATCCTACACAAGAGCTGCCTCAACTACCAGAAGTGAAAATAAATAAGGGCGGAGACATGGAATACAGAAAGGAGAAATAAACATCAGGCATTAGGCAGTGTCTAATAAACCTAAATACACGACTTTTCACGGAACCCATACTCAACGATGATGCAAACATCCATGATCATATTCAAATTATATGGACAGCTGAGCTAAAACAACTCATGCTGATACTGGCAGTATTAAAGTCTCTCTGATAAATCAAAGTAATCAATTGTGGCAGTGAATATGTTAATAAAATTCAACATTATGAAACACAGTAACTTCAACTTGCTGAGCAAGATTCCACTCATTCCTGAGAAATAGACAGTCACTGAACAAATGTTATACAAAGAATATAGATCCTGATGTATGTAACAAAGAAGACATGCTGCATTTGTCAACATTCAATCAGACACAACTTCACAGCCCATGCTACAAGGAAGTTAAACTCTGAAATTTTTAATGTTTTATTTCTTAGAATATTGAAAATAATACTGAACTTAGTACAGCATTCTCATATTTGGAAAATAACAGTATACAGAAAATGAGGGACAATAAGAACAAAGAATATTCAAGTTTACTTGGAAGGACTCAAACTATTTCTCGGTGCTGTCTTGACTCACAACAGGGTGTGAAACACAACTGTACTCCATGTCACACTCATTTCACTTGCCCAAAATATTTCTCATGGGAAAAAAAAATTAATAACTAAAGGTAAAACCTATACTGTGAAGAACAATAAAATTAGGATTTACATATATATGTTAGCACTAGTATTCACAAGCATTTTCATTCAACTTTCATGCAGGGCTGTGGTCCTACAACACACTTTCTGCACAGAACAATAAAATTAGGATTTACATATATGTTAGCACTAGTATTCACAAGCATTTTCATTCAACTTTCATACAGGGCTGTGATCCTACAACACTCTTCCTTCACACAAGTTTACAAAGTTACACACAAGTGTAACAAAATTTACACCTAGCAGATTTTTGTAGAATAGTTACATTTTTTGTTCTCCTTTCTATAGTGTATCACCAGAACTGTATATACATTTCATATACAGTTCTTTTGCAGTAAAATGGCATTCTTTATTTCCTTCCTGTGATGTATCAATAGAAAGGTATAAACGTGAAAGCTCCTTAAATGAAAAATTTCTGATCAGCCCTAGCTGAAAGCAGTACTGTGAACACTTTTCATTTCAACAACCCTCATCACAGTATTATTATATGACTGTCAACACAACAAATTTGTAATAAACAAATCAAATATTGCTATATTAATGTATATTTGCTACATGTTTCGATCCAGCTGGATCATCATCAAGCAGATATGCACAAACTGTACACTCGTATTGAATTGTATTGCTAATTTGTATCCATACATATAAATTTCAGTACGATTCTAGTTTCATTACAAATTTGAATATTAGTCTTATAATATGAAACATATAACTCAGAAGTTAAAATGTTAAAACTGAATTCAAATTTTGATGGCCCATGATGATGTATCATAGAGCAGAGGGGTATTCAGGAAGTCTGCATTGTTTTAATTATGTGCACCTGAAAATAGATGTTCTAATATATAATATAATTTATAATTTTGAGTGATGTAATATATTCATATGGTGTGGTGTAAATGTTTACTTACATATTGCCTGGCAGTTTTCCACATACAAATAAGAAATCAAAACTAAGAAAATAATGAACAATACACAGAAAAACTCCATTAAAAATCTACTTTTATTACAGAAAAACTTTACCCGTCACTCACAACATAAAAAAAAAACATACACCACTTACATGTGGAAAACTGCCATGAAATATGTAAGTAAACATTTACATCACACCATGACTATATTACAGCACTCAAAATTATATATTATATTATGTATTAGAACATCTATAATCTGTTTTCAGGCGCACATATTTAAATCAACGCAGACTCCCTGAATATCCCTCTGCTCTGCGATACATCATCACAGATCACAAATGGTCAAAATTTTAATTCAATTTTAACTTTTAACATTTTAACTTCTGAGATATGTTTTCTATTTTAAGACTAATATTAAAATCTGTAATGAAACTGGAATCGTAATGAAATTTATATTCATATTTATGACCACTAATATGGATCCAAATTAGCAGTACAATTCAAGTGTACATTTCATGAATATCTGCCTGATGATGATCCAGCTGGATCGAAACATGTAGCAAATGTACTAATAAACAATTATTAATATACTAATATAGTAATATCTGACTGGTTTAGTATGAATATGCTGTGTTGACAGTCAAATAATAATACATAGTAATACACAACAAGACGCAAACAATAAAGGTAACACTCATTATATACATACAGTAATGGTGACACAATATGGGAAGGAAAACAAACAATGCCACTTCTGTATAAAAAAGTCTCCTGAAATTATAAAATGTAAGACTTTGTACAAGAATCACATTGCTCAGATTTATTTCAACAAATTTAAATTCTTCATACCATGACACTGTTTAATTTCGCGTTCACTGGCAAGGCATCTGTAGCGACTTCACTAACTCAGTAGCGAGGAGGATAAAGTGGGGTTGTATTGGATGACTGTGGGCTATTGGAATCTGAGTCTAGGTCCAGGAATGTTGGTACAGATGGAAGGTACATAGAATTTGGAAATATGGGATGTGGCATTCGCAGACCAGGGCTCCGACCTGGCAATGGTTGCATAGGCGGTGGTGGTGGTGCTGGTGGTGTTGGTGTTGCAGGTGGGGAGGGGCTGTCCAGAGTGATCACACTGGGGCTCATGTACCCAGAGCTGGACACAGAACTAAGCCCCGTATGTGAACTGTTGCCTCCAGCACTGCCTCCGGAGCTGCTCACACCTGTATCTGTGAACATAAATTTCAAATAATTCTTCCACAGCTAAATCTTGTATTACCATTTTACACAACAAAGACAGAATCCTTTATTATCTTTGTCACATGTTGTTTGCTGTACCCTGACTTTTCAATCCAGAAGGACAAATGCCTACTTTTTGGTGGTCGGTGATACATCAGTTTATACTATCCATATTATACAGCTACTTCAGTAAATATGACTAACAGGGAGCCTTTCACGATATGCAGCCAGATGAAGGGTTAACCTTACAACATACATAATAGAGTACTGCCTATAACAGAGAAGCTATACAGATCTACAATAAATCCTCACTATCCCAACACTGTTTGGAGCAGAGGATGTTCCAGATAAGGTGATAATTTGGATTAGTAGAGTTACAATAAAAATTGATAATAACTGGGTCACTGGTGGGGAAAAAAACATAGTCCAAAATTTGAAAAACTGAACAATCCTGCCACCTAGCAACAAATCCAGCAACCCACATGACTCAAAGACAGTAAAGTCCCTGAGATAAAGGTGAAAAATCATGTGTTCCAAAAGAATAGCTTATGTGCATTACTTTTCCTGGAAAACAGCAGCTGTCAAAGCATTTTTTCCAGAAAAACAAAACATGTCCTTCCAACCTTTTAACATGGAATCAGTATAAGAAATGTACAGGTATGGTGGTGGTGGCGGTGCTGGTAATGAAGAATGAAATTGCATCTACGAATGAGTCACAAAAAAAAAGTTCAACAAAGAATGTAGAAATGGAGACATGAAACTAAAAGCAGCTACTACAGAAGAGGCACACAGGTTGACAGAACAACAGAATCTTCAAGAAGCTCAAGCTCAAGCATTCCATGACTTAAAAAAAAGGGGAAACAACAAAGTCTCATCAATGCTTCTGGATTACCTGGATTTGTCCAGGTCAAAATAAAAATTGTGTGACGCTTCAGCTCACATATGCCTTGGTCCTTACACAGAAAATTGTGATACCCTTCACACACGTGTTTCCAGCAAAAGGATGCTCATATTTACCACGCAATAGCAACTTTCAACAAATTTGAGGGCATACGAAAAACATACTGGATGTATCACATGAATGGGATGACGTTATAGGTTCTGCTAGACACAGTACACTCACCATTCAGAGCGACAGTATTTTCCATGAAATGGAGGCCAATCTAGGCCTACATTTCCTCTCTAACCCAGAAACTTGGCTACTTATCAAACCGCTTTGCATGTATCGGGGAAAAGACAATGGAATCATGTGTAATTTTGGCAATAACATAATATCAATCCAATGTTTTTTTCCTTCTTGTTGTTCACTACCATTATCACTTTCACCATCACTAATCACATGGGTTCCTGGAACCACAAATTGTTTATAATCACCCTCAAAACTGCTATCATCATCTGAACTAAATTCATCCATCAATTGAAACTTGAACTTGTTCATGCTCGGTGTGTGCATAACTTATGGACTGGCCATGATCACTGTGAGGTCACATGATTATTGTTTTGACTCACCTGCTCAGCTGCATGAAATCTACCAACGCATGAATGGAGAGTCCATTCATTTTATAACAGGCCAGTGTAAACCTGATCACACTCAAGTTATTCCTTCCTTATTTACAGACCAGGAAAACTGAGCTTACAACTAAACCTATAACTGCAAACAGAGCAATTAAATGCCCAATGTAACATCTACAGTGATTGCACAGTACAGTTTACATTAAAGCCTATTAATGATTCCTGAGTTAGTCTGTCATAAAACAATTAATTTTCCAAGGCTGTACACCTCACTAACCTGAATGTACCCTATTTCCCGATACACTGTTCACAGCCTGATTAGATGAATCTGGCTTGACTGTTGTATTAGTCTTCAATGGTACTTCTGCTTCATCCTCTGAATCACTTAATGTTAAATCAACTACAGTTACTTTCGTTTTTGGTTCATCCTTTGGTGGAGACTGGATTACTTCTGCAATAAAGAGCATCACATACAAATGAGGAACACATTATTAAAATGGAATAAACACACTCTGGGATTCACAGAGTATTAATGGACAGGACTGATGCTAAGCGACAGGTGGGATCGTAGCCTCAAGTACAGTATTACAGCTTCACCAGAGACCGTCTTCTTAGACTAACAGCCAACCCCTCAAGTTTTTGGAAAAGTGCATATACTGACACAAAGAAAAAGTTTCAACAATTTTTCTAGTCCCAAAAGTTATGGATGAAAAGGTAAAATCTAGAGTAGAATTAAAAAGATATTTAAATATACACTCTTCCTATCTTTCTGATGTCTGAAAATGACTCACAGTCTTCTTAATGGTATGTATAAGTGAACAGTAAGACCGCCTCTGTGGTCTAGTGGTCAGAGTTACAGTCTACAAATCCAGAGGTCCCAGGTTTGATTCCCAGTGCTATCAGATTTTCTGAGATGTAGTGGGTCTGGAACAGGGTCCACTCGGGCTTGTGAGGATAACTGAGGAGCTATTTCAAGGAAACAGCGGTTCCAGTCTAGAAAACCAAGACTGACGGCTGTGAGGATCCATCGCATTGACCACGCGACACCCTCTATCCGCTAAAGCTGGCACTAACTTCGTCAACAAGTGGCAGTCGCTCTGTTGGTATAGTTCGCTTGTGGACTACAGGCCAAGGAGTTTTCATAAGTGAACAGTATTAATGTACAGAGTGTCTACAATGAAATGCCCCATTTTTGAAGATTTCTTAAAAAGAGGCGAATGTTTTTTTTTTTTTTTCATGTGTTAAGTGACTCCTGTGTACAACTGGAGTCCAAATTCCAGCCTAAATTTTTAGGCTATTTCATAGGCCACCACTGAGGTGCTGTTGTCACTTCATGCAAACATGGCGCCATCTCAGGAGAAGGCTTGGATTGTGAGTTTTTCTGAGTTTAGGTCCATTGTGAGGGTACAAAAGGAGTTTCATTGTGTTATCATAAAGCAGCACCAGATGCAAAGAGGATAAAAGCATGGCACAACAAGTTTCTGGAGATGGGAAGCATCTTGAAAGGGCATGGAGGAAGCCCACAATGTGTAAAGAACATACAAGGTGGAGATTCTGTAGGAGCTGAAACCAGGGGATAACCAACAGCAACACAGTTTTGCCTGCGACATGAATGACTGAATTGGCAGAGAACCCGACTTTCTGACAAACATTATGTTTTCCAATGAAGCCACTTTTCATGCCTCTGGTGCTGCAAACACGCATAACATTTAGATATGGGGATCACAGCAATGGCACAGAATCATTGAACATGTGCAAGACAGCCCAAAAGTGAATGTTTGGTGTGGCGTCATGTGAAATATGATCATCGGACAATTTTTCTTTGTGGAGAAGACTGTCACAGGTAGCTCATACCTGGACTTGTTGCAGCTCTACACCTTTTCTCAGTTAGAACACCTGCAGCCAAATGTCTTTTTTCAACAGGATGGAGCTCCACCCCACTCGTCACTACACGTGTGGTGAGCTCTGAATGCAACATTTCCAGGCTGTTGGATAGGATGAGATGGTCCAACAGATTGGCCTCCATGTTCCCCTGACATCATGCTGTTGAATTTCTTTTTGTGGGGCTACATGAACGATAGAATTTATGCCACTGAAGTGCAAGACCTTCGAGCCTGGATTGTGAAAGCTGTTGGTGCCATCACTCCAGACATGCTGCAGTGGACCTGGGTGGAACTCGATTAGACTAGATATTCCATGTGTCACCAAAGGTGCTCATGTAGAAGTGTACTGGTCTTTTTTTAATTAAACTTTGTGTGTTGTATGACTGATATTTGTCAATAAATAGACCATATCTCTGTTCCTTACATCCTGAGAATACAATAAAACTAGGGCATTCCATTGTACACACACTGTACATGTGTGAATCTTTTGTCAACACCTCAAAGCCTTATGTGAACTTCCTATGCATTTTTACGTTACATCTAAAACATGCTCAAATGCATTGTATATACATGTTTTGTATTTCTATTGCTTATTCCACATCCTACAGTCATTTCAGACTAACTCTGGACCCATGGACTGTAATACTATGTATGTGAGTGCTTATCTTATGATCTATAGGATACAGTATGTAAAAACAGGACACAGCCCACTTCAAGGGAGACATGCAGAAATCTGCAGAATGCTAGTGGCTGTAATTTCAGTATACAAATACAATGAATGAAATCTTCTTGGACAATCAGCTATTTGATGAGGAAGTTAGTATTCCACATTTCAGACAATATCACTGCCTCATCAGTGATGACTGACTACTTGATTCCACCCACTGTTCACCCAGCAAATTGCACTGGGACAGAACACAGGGCTCCAAGAGCAGTCTTCGGATATACATACAACATGTGGCTTCCATCACTCTTCATCTCAACCTCTGATGATGGAGACTTGAGACATTCCAAAATTGTGGATACCAACCCCAAATGGCTGATGACCTGAGAGGATTTCTCTGTATATAAAGTTATTGTCATGAGCTTAATATCATATACAACATACAGACACTTACCAAGTTCATCAGAGACAGTCTCAATCTTGACTACAGGCTTCTCCTGTGGCTGAAATAAAAGACATTGCAGGAAAGGATAAAACTGGTGGTCATACAATTAAATTTGCTTCTAAATTCTGTATATATCCATGAAGCAAATACTATGATAACAACTCGTATTTTTGTCCTACTGAAATAAACACATTCTCCTAATGTATCCCTTAAAATGGAGAATCAGCTGAAATCCACTCTTTTTTTTTTTAATCTGCAGTCACCTTGCCAACATCTGATGAATCATGTATGGAATTCTTATTAACCTAACTTACAAAACTGTAAAATATACTCACCACTGGAGACAATACTCTGGTCTGTTCTTTCTTAACAATTAGCGAAGACCAGGAACCATCCTGATGCAACTGGATTTCATTACCATCTGCTGAAAGTTTTCCAGACAGGAGAACCTGCTGAAAATATCTGGTGGAAGCAAGAAACACAACACAATAGAGTAAAAAGAACACTTTGCACACAAGTCCAGCATAGCAACCTGATGCAAAATTACTATTTCATGCCCAGTTATAAACCTATACTACCCAAGTATGATGTTAACCTTTATCCTACGGCCCTTTAAACTTAGGCTGTGGCAGCGGTACGGAATTATTTAAAGGGCCGCTCTTAGAAATCCGTAAAAGCTGTAAGTTACTTACTAATTTTGCTCCTATTTCTGCTATTTCTGTGATAATCGAACGAAATAAACGCTGTTTTTTTCTCGAAAGAATATAGAATCAGATATTGTAATTTACAGATTGTATAAAACATGTTAAAATTTTTGCACTGACTCCAAAAAGAAATTTGCCAATTTTTTTCCTTCTCTGCGAGAATTCATACGTTTTGGACACCCCTGAATGCCATCTGGTGGATGGAGACACTCGGCAACATTGGAGTTGCTGTGTCTAGTAAGTTTATCTCAGTATAAAGTGACGTACCTCGTTCGGAATGTTGATTTGGACGAGTGAAAATAAGCTCAGTGTCTTCGCTCTCAGCTACAGTATAAAGTTCCTACTGTTCTTATATAGATCAAGGCTAACATTGTTTATGCAATTGCTTTTGTAGTATCAACAAAGCGATAATAGAGCTTAGTTCCTGGAATTGTGCAGTCGAAGTTTGTACATGGCCTAGTTTCGTGTGGATAATTCTATCAACGGAATAGGTCCGTGATTCTAAGGGTTCATTCGAAGTACTTTGAAGTTTTATCGTAACATGACGTAATTCAATAGGAATGAGGAGAGTGGGGGAATGAAATGAACTCAGTGCTGCTTTATCGAGCTGGGTTGCACACTTCTTTATACAGTTTCTTTACACTGAGTGCTTGGTTCGTAACTGGAAGTGTTCTGTCTAGCTATCTAATTAGTTCGATCATGGCATCGTCTCATCTCGAAGATTCCGACATATTTCAGCTAATAAATGACACCGATTCAGATTGTGGTACTGACAATTCTGAGAGTGACGTTGAAGGTAGCGAATCAGGAAGTGATATCGATGAAGACCAATCATCTTCGTCGGCAACCTGGGGACCGCCACACCGGCGTGGCACTAGGAGTGTGAATACTTATTCAGGTGGACCTGTGGGGTTAAAAACCCATGAAGCTCCACATGTAAATAAGGATTCCACCCCTTTCAGCGTTTTCATGCTGTATTTCGCAGAGATTATCCATCTGCTGGTGGAAGAGACGAACAGATACTACCACCAGCACATAGAGAGACGTCAAGACGGACCTTCTCCGCGGCCTGACGTGACCGAATCCGAGATGTTTCTGTTTCTAGGAATAATCATTCAGATGGGACATGACATTAGAGACAGACTGACGGACTACTGGTCGACTGCCGAACAATTTGCCACGCCTTTCTACTCTAAGACAATGAAACGCGACCGATTTCTTCACATTCTTCGTTTTCTACATTTTGCAGACAACAGGACAGAAATTGACAGGAATGACGACAGTTATGACCGACTTTGGAAAATTCGGACCATCTTCGACACTCTCAATGACGCATTTGAAAAATATTATAACCCTTCCGAACATTTGGCCATTGACGAAATAATTGTAAAATACAAAGGGAGGGTGATTTTTAAGCAGTACATTCCGAAGAAACACAAACGTTTCGGAATCAAAATTTTCAAAATTTGTGACGCCGCTGGGTATACGTATGACATGAAAGTTTACCTAGGAAAAGACAGGACACGTGCCGACCGAGACGTGACAGCGACACATGCTACAGTTAGGGACCTGTGCAGGCGTATTGAGGGCGTAGGTCACAAACTGTACATGGACAATTTCTTTTCTTCGCCCGACTTGTTTGACGAACTGATGACAAAGAAGATAACGTGCTGTGGGACAGTCAGACCTAATCGGAAGGGCTTGCCTGACGATTTTCGACGAAGACAGTTTCGACTTAGGAAAGGGGACATTCGTGTTAGGGTGAGACAGAACATGACAGCTCTAGTTTGGAAGGACAAACGTGACGTTTACATGCTGACAAATATGCACTCTCCTCCAGCAGAAGGCAATTTCTGTGGTGAGCATGGAAATGCCACAAAACCAGCTGTTGTTGCTGACTACAACAAGCACATGGGTTATGTGGACAAGGCGGACAGGATGGCAAACAGTTATGGCATCTGTCGTCGGACCTGGAAATGGACAAATAAACTATTTTTCCATCTCCTGGATCTGACGATTCTGAACAGTTATATCCTGTTGTCATCCTGTGGCGCGAAATTGTCACACAGAGATTTTCGTCTCGCCCTTGTGCGGAACATGCTGGAGCTCGCTGGAAGGGGTCCACCTCGCCCTCAACGGCCCAGGGGTCGACCCCCGGCTGTTAGATCGGAGCCATCTCGAATAGGGGAGGTCACAATACAACATTGGCCGACTTCCTCTACTTCGAAGTTGAGATGTCGTGAGTGTTCTTCGCGTGGGATACGAAGAACCGTCCGGACAAAGTGCGTCAGGTGCGACATCGGACTGTGCATTTCCGGATGTTTCCAAGAATACCACACGAAGGCCACATTCCGGTAGATGAGGCAGGTGGGAAGACAGACGCTTCATGCAGATGGTGGCCACAAATTACGTAAGTACAAAATTATTTTTTACGTTAAACTTTTATTTCAGGTAAAGATAGCACGCGCGGACTGTGCGACCAGGAGTCGAACCCCTGCCGTTTTATCGGAGATATCTCGATTATAGAAGGCCAAACCACATCACTGGCCGACTTCCTCTACTTCGCAATTGAGGTGTCGTGTGTGCTTTTCGCGTGGGAAACGAAAGACCGTCCGCACAATGTTCGCGAAGTGCGAAATCGGACTCTGCATTTCCGGATTTTTTTAGAATTCCACACGAAGGCAACATTCCAGCAGATGACGCAGGTGGGAAGACAGACACTCCATGCAGATGGTGGCCAAAAATTATATAAGTAGGACATTATTTTCTACCTTAAAAATGTATTTCAAATAACGTCCGCACGCGCGGACTGTGCGACCAGGGGTCGAACCCCTGCCCTTTTATCGGAGATATCTCGATTATAGAAGGCCAAACCACATCACTGGCCGAGTTCCTCTACTTCGCAATTGAGGTGTCGTGTGTGCTTTTCGCTTGGGAAACGAAAGACCGTCAGGACAAAGTACATGAAGTGCGAAATCGGACTCTGCATTTCCGGATTTTTTTGAGAATTCCACACGAAGGCAACATTCCGGCAGATGACGCAGGTGGGTAGACAGACATTCCATGCAGATGGTGGCCAAAAATTATATAAGTAGGACATTATTTTCTACCTTAAAAATGTATTTCAAATAACGTACGCACGCGCGGACTTTGCGACACCACATGGCGTCATTCGTACCACTGCCTTTATATCTGCGACGACATACGGTGTCTTTTGTCGTTTAAAGGTTAATAATGCAAGGTTCAATGCATGCAGGTAAAAAGCTTACCACAATTTTTTTCAGTATCCATCCTCAAATGGCTAATCCTACTACAGAATAAACCCATTTAATGTTGCTCAATACAGTGAAGCTGTGTAGTGACTATCTGCAGAACAAGCTTCTTGTATCTAAAATAGGGGTTTGGGAATACAGAAGCCTTATATGTATGTTTCTAACAAGGACTGTATTACATAATACAAATTTTCAAACTGGACATACTACAAGATCTAAAAGTTGTGACGATGGTATATTGTTACAATTAATATGTTGTTGGACATTGTCAATCATCTTGTCTGTTACCTGCGGATGGGGACGGAATCCAGTCCCCGAAACACTGTGTTTTTTAAAAGAAACAGGACTGGTTTTTTAAGAATAGACAAGATGATGGATAATGTCCAACAACATGTTAACTGGACATACTATGTTTAAATTCTTTACAATCACATATAAATTTCAGTAACAAAACACACATTACAAAATATTAACCACAAAACACAATCAGAATTAGAAAATACAGATCACACAACAGTATAGTCTGCAATATGGCCTGGGAAGAGAATCTGCAGCCACTACTGGAAAGAAGAAAACATGAAAGACCTAGTTAAATCATATCAATACACATGATTATGTTAAATTCCAGCTATGCAGTACAGTGACAAACAAGAAGCTACAATGTCTTGTGAGAGTAAAATATAAAAAATAATGCAAGCACGCATGCTGATGGATTGCTTCTTTAAGTAATCTAGAAGGGTAATGTGGCATATCTGATAAGTGAAGAGCAATTTCCTCTCCAAATGAGCACGTAAGGCAGGGATTTTTCTCCAGCACTCCACAGTGTCTTCACTTAAACTGCCACTTCCACTATACACAAACTTTCATGAATTTTAACAGCACAAATGATAAATAAAGAACAGAGATAGCTGTGTTACATGGTATGCTAGCCACATGTAAACTGGAACATGCAAATAATTTCTCTTAAACATTAAACCAAGATATGAAATGCGTATGGATTGAGGTTCTGTATGTAAAATGCAGGTAAACAACAAACACTAAATTGACAAAAATAATACTCATACATTAGGTATATGGAACTATGACCTGGACTTAATCACCTTATAGGCAGAAACACCTAAAATGCGGGTCAATTAAATCATGATTTTACTGTATATTTCCTCTTTTTAGATTTCAGTTAAAGTGTCCCAAGTGAACATCTCAGTCTTAAGGCAACCCTTTTTAATATTTTCTGAAATTCTGTGTATAAATCCAATGCTCTTAAAAGAAATCTTAAATAGGGGATTCATTGTATCTGTAACTGGAATCAGAAGTTTTTCCCAACAAGCATTTAGTCCTAATATCTGATGCCTCTGCAAGAACACTTGAAGGAAAGAAATTTTGGATAAATGAGGTGAATAATGTGACCCTCATATGTTCAAGTAGGATGAACATGGGCATTCTAAAAGAGGAAAGTACTCTGAGAAGTGTCAAAAGATTAGAATAATATCTAAGTGAAAATACTGTACACCATATGCTGACACTCTAGCCATAGGATCCAAGACGCGGTTGTGTAGGAAGGGGGAAGAAAAGAGAAGTGTAAAGGCACAGCACCAATTTCTTTTACCTTTTCGATTTCTTTATTCATTTTTTATTTTAATCAGTTCAGCTGCTCTGTTTAAGAATACTATATTTACTCACGTACCACATACCCTGATTTTCAGGAGCAAATTTCAATGGAAAAGTAACATCTTGCAATTCTCAAATAACATTCCTTGTAAATTAACTACATTTATTATGAACAGATAAAGGAATATAAATACAACTGACTGTCTTAATATTGGTTTTAAGAGTCATCTGCTGGCAGGGGAGGGAAAAAAAATGCATATGCTATTGCGCCCAAGTGAGCTGACTGTCATGGGAATGCATTATATGCATTACTACTTGCATCAAATACTAACACAATGAATTCATTATCAACAAACAAAATCTCCATGTATGGCATTCATCCTGATTTTGGGGTGCAAACTTCAAGATAGAAGGGTGTATTACATGAGTAAAGAGAGCAGCTTAAACCACAAATGATGGTCCTTACGGTTTTGCCTATTTAGTCAGGAATGAAAAGATGGATTTGACCCCATGTATGACAAACTTCTATTTCAACAACATAATACGGGGATATCGAAAAGTCACGCACATCAAACTAAAAGTTGTTATAAATTGTATTGCAGTTAATATAATTATATCTCCTACCGCTAGATGGTACTGTAGGAGTAGAGTAGAAACACCATCTGTCGTGTATCGGTCATACGATGTCTGCAGTATAGATTAGTTTATTGCATGACAGACATGTCGTTTTCCGAAGAATGAGTTTTCATTGTGCAATATTATTTCACCAATTGTTCTTCACTGATAAAGCGTGGTTTCACCTTAGTGGCTACATGAACAGTCAAAACAATAGGATTTGGTCATCTGAAAATCCACGTGTTACATGAAAAGCCCCTGCACTGTCAGAGAATTGGAGTGTGACGTGCTGTATCACATCGTCAAATAGTGGGCCTAATTTTCTTTGAAACAACAGTGAACAGTTCAGTGTACCAAGACATCATTACACAGTTTATTGCGCTTCTTGGAGTTGATGAACATGAGTGTTGGTTGCAGCAAGATGGTGCCACATATCACACATCTAATGAAACCATGCAGTTCTTGCACGAGTTTTCCGGTGACCGTTTCATTTTGAAAGGATTGTGGCCCCCGCGTTCGCCTGATTTGTCACCCGCAGTTGGGGATACCTCAAAGCAATCGTCTATAAAAACAATCTGCATATGCTGGATGACCTCAAGAGGCACATGACAATGGTGATTAACAGCATCAGTTTACAGGTGCTCTATGAAGTGGCCTCAAACATGGTAAAAAGAGCTTGCGCATGCATTGCTGAACAGGGAAGCCATTTTGAGCATATGTTGTAAAGACATGATTTGATTTTGCATTTCTAAGATGTAAGGTTATAAACATTAATAGTAAGTGCTGTATGTCTTGTAATGTGTGCATTAAACCAGCAAAATATAATTGCTTTGTATGATGTGCGTGATTTCTCGATCTCCTTGTACAATTTACCCAAGATAATAAGTGAAGATATTAAAATGTGGGGTTCTTGACTGAACTCTTAAAGCTTAACTTCTTACTGCACAGATTTCTAGTCCTGCAAATCCTGTTGTTAATGTCATATATTACACTGGCAAGCCCTTTTTGAGACAACTGTGAATATCATACTTAGGTAGTGTAAATTTATAACCCAAGAATAAAATGCACTTCAGCTTTGGAGTACCATGTTTGACTCATGCACAGATGGTCTTCTGTGTCTACTTCTGGTCAAGCTGGGACCCTTCTTACTGCTTGCATCTTACTCTCAAACAACCATGACCTATGTTCCTCCCTTAGGGTGAAAGACCAGGTTTGACTACAACACTAATTAACATGTAAAATTAGTTTTGTACAATTTAATCTTACATTTGTATAGATAGATGACAACAACACAAACATTCTGAACTGAATGGATTACGTGAAGAAAGAATGGGGGGTGCAAGTAAGTTCTGCAGAACTCACTGGAATGGTCACAATACCTGAAGAAACACAGTGTTCAGAAAGCAGAAATGTCAGGCATCCAAAGAACAAGAGGAAGAGTAATATATACAATAGGATAATATGTAGCCCATAATTAACAGGAAGAACACAACTTACCCATCTATGACAAGGTTATCATACAATGCTGGCTTATCACATACTGGACACATCCATGTAGGCTTCCTTTCATTCATCTGCAGGTATAAAGATGCATCAAAACATTGCAGATGGTAGCAAGTGGAGGCACGGCATGGTGTACTCATCCGCATCTTGCCAAGTGGACATACCAGGGAAACTCGTAATGATGTAGTGGCTATCTCACAGTCTGCATCCTCAGCTAGTTTCTCCTTGACTAGAACAGACATGTCTAAGTTACTCAGGCTATACTATGACTTGCTCACACCAATACACACATTTAAGCAAGTACAAAAAAACAGGATGACTCTGTTTCCACATATTTCCCAAGAAAAATACCATTAATGCTGTCGTCTTGATTTACGAACCTTGAGGTCACAGTGCAGGTGGAAGAATTAGGTCAGTTGAAAAATCCAGTGGACTCAATGGGAATCGAACCTGTAACCTTCTGGTTTGTAGCATAGTGCCATATTTACTGAAATAAGTGAACCTCAAATTACCGTGGAGTCTGATGACACTGTAGATATATTAGACATATTTTCTGACAAGGATCTGGTGCAGAAACTTGTAGACGAGTCCAACCAATGTACACAGCAATTCAGTAATTCTAGAGGCAATATTTTTTCCGCAACTGCCCAGTGTAAAAGAATGGCTCCTCATGACAGCGGAAGATATACATGTCTTGGCACTCTTCTTGATTAAGGGGACTGTACAGAAGCCCATCCTGAGCCTGTACTTTTCACAAAATCAGCTGGCAGACACATCCATTTTTATCTATCATTTCCTTCACTTGAAGCATCTGCACAAAACAAACTCCATGGCTTTTAGTCCACAAGCAACTATACCGAGTGACCGCTGCTTGTCTGCGAAGTTACTGCCAACCTTTTGCAGACAGAGGGTGCCATATGGTCAGCGCAACAGATTCCCATGGCCATTAATCTCAGTTTTCTAGACTGGAGCCGCTACTTTTTGCATTCAAGCAGCTCCTCAATTATACTCACAAGGATGAGTGGACCCCGTTCCAGACCCACTACTTCACAGAAAATCTGGTACCGCCGGGAATCGAACCCAGGACCTCTGGATCTGTAGCCAGGAATTCTGACCACTAGACCACAGAGGTGGCCTCTGAAGCATCGGTATATGTGCATTTTATAGACACCTACAGGGATACATCTGAATGATCATAGAAATTATTCAAACTCTATCCTATCATCACACACTTGCATTAAAAATTACAGACTCTGTAGCTACACAAAAATACATCAAATGGTGAACCATTCACCTTACAGAAGGGCTGCACATCCTTCAAACAGTAGCAAAATTATTACAATTCAAAATAAAAACATCATAACTGTGGGGACTTGAGTTCTTCTTTCCTGTGACCCTTCATAATGCACAATGGAAAAGAGAATGGACTGGAATCATCCCTCATTTTATAAATACATACACATAAAATAAGAGCAGTAATTCTATAATGCTCTGAACCTCTGCTCTACAAAAGCATTATCCAACCTTCTGGGTGGGTAATTATTATAATTCTCCAGGTTTTGCGAAATTCTTAATGTCATATAAAACTATGACATTTGAGGTTCTCATGGCAGTGACTATGAAGAATACTGTCCTTGGGGATGTCATGAAGTGAAGTATGGTATAAGTTTACCACCATTTTGGAGGAATATGAGCAAATTCTATACCAGACTATGTTGCATCACATCTCAGAAGACAACTGTAACAACCACTTTGTGGGGACCATGTAAATTAAAGAATGTGCCTAAAAATGTCAAAGAAAAAAGATACTAATGGGCAATTATTCATGTGTCTTTTTTCTTTTATTAGCATGGATAATAGGTAGTATACTGTGACATCAGGGCTCAAAACCAGAACTGTGGAGCCAGAAGAGATATCAGTTGCTAGGCAATAACTCTGTAAACAAGTCTTCATGACAAACTGAATCACACGACCGCTGCAACAGTCAGGAATGCAACAACAGTGGCGTTCTCTGTTGGTCCATGCAGGAGAGTCTGCAGGCAGACAGACCAATGGTCATAATATGACTTTGATAAACCAGTCTGCAGATGCTGTGAGACAGTCTCTCCCTGGCAGGGGTGTGGGAGGCGGAAGAGTCCCAACTGTCGGATGCTGCTTATGAGCCGCTGCCTAGTAATGGCTGTTGTACAGTTGCTTATTTCAGGGTTGTTGCCTAGCAAGAGGTCTAGATACCAAAATATTTTACACATCTTCAAAAATCTGCAGGAAGGAGCAGTATAAAACAGGTCCTGCATATTTTGGTGTGATGTACTGATGCTGGCATTGATGAGATAGGTGCCCAATACAGAGGCAGGTATTAAAAGAGATAAAATATTTTTAACTGAACAGGTCCTAAACTGGTAGGTGGCAAGAACTTACGATGCTGACATTTCTCAAACATTTTCATCTGCACTGAAGCTTACACATGTACATAATTTCCAGCAGAATAAGATTTAATTTCCTGCAAGTCAGTATCAATCATTCATAAACAAACAAATATGCACAGTTCTCACTATTAAATTGAACATGTTATAAATTTAGAAAAGCAGCCTAAAATCTAGCATGCACTAACCACGTCACACTCTCTTAGTTGGAAGGAAATTGGAATGAAATGATTAAGACATCACTATTTCCCAAGAAACCAGTACAGATTCTCGTGTGCGAGTTCAAAAATGCAATTTCATTTCAATGTGCTAAAGTAATTTAGACTGATTTCAATTAACAGCACGAACAATGTAAATTACTTGTTGTCCTATCAAAGAAAGATGAGGAGACTATTATGTGGCGAGGGCAATAATATCAGATATATGCAATTTCACATGCTCAAACTCTTTTCTGAAACACAATGGCTGCATAAATCAAGGGGTGCCTGTAGTTATTAAATTCAGTATACTTACTGAGACCTCTTGTGAAGTCTGAATGTCTTACACCTCTAGTTTTCAGTCTCTGTAACAATTCTGAAGAAGTCAATTTCCGAACTAGGTACACTGCTATAGCATAACCGCGTCCGTACTCCGCATTCCAAGAAACAGTAATGTGGTTAGCTACCGTAGGACTTAGCTTTACCATTGTTGTAATGTTTACTGGGCGAGGTGGCCGTTTTGGTTCAACACCAGGCTTGTTAGTTGGAATAGGGTTCTGAAAAACAAAATAAAGAATAGACACACTGTCAAATTACACTGTGCTGCTGTCATAAAGATCATTCCCTTCAGCATTTATAGATTTGTGAAATAAAAACAAGATTACTAGTAAACTCCCATGTTAGGTTTCTTTGGGGACCAGTGAATCTGAACATTAAATGTAACGAAAATCTTGAATGGACGAAATTTAGAATAAACAGTAGTTGCTTGGGATCACTAAAATTAAATGTTAAATGATGAGAAACCTTAAACGAACATTAAATGGGGGTTCCACTGCATTACGAATTTAATAAAACTATAAATATAAAGCACTTGTATTTCTGTAACCATTATTTGGGCACTAATAAATTACTCACAGGTAAGGGGCACATCTTGCCATTCACTTTCACACAAATGCCTGGAGGGAAGAAGTCATCCTGTTCACACGATGTTTCGAGCAGGCAGAATCTCATCTGTACCTGTGAAATATAACAAAAGTCATATATCTTCAACGAAATAAGCACATATTACAGAGACCTCATTCATACCACAGTCATACCCTGAGTCTCCTAGCTCCTGAAAGAACTGTCTGAGAATCGCCTGTACATATCTTTCAAAATTAACAGTTTCATTTTTAAAAAAAAAGGGAGGGGGGTTCAATAATCCTTCTTGCACTTACAGCACACCAAACATCAACTTTCACTGGATGCAGCGGGACTTTGTGGGTGAGAAGTGGATTCTGTGAACTCCAGTAGTGATTATTTTACATATTTTTATATCCCTATAAGTGAAACCATGCTTCATCAGAAGATAACATCAACTGTTGACCGATTTCACCTTTGATGACAGAGTGAAGAAACCGATTGCATAATTAACCCTGCTAGCTGATCACACAGCTGCAAGGCATGGATTACTGTTGTTTTATGGGGTCTAAGCTTTAGCAATTGTTGCCCTTCTTGCACTTGACTTAACATCCAGTTTCTTGAGGCAGATATTTTTACTGACTGTTGTTGTTCATGCATGTGTATTACTTGTAACAGTCACACTGATCTGAGCTTATTCATAAAATGTGAACTGTCTGTCTGCTGGAAAATCTTTCATCATGAAATTTATGTTGAAATTTTCATTGACATCTCCTTGCAGTTCTGTATTTCACATTTCGTACAAAAATACTTGCTGCTCTAAAGAATGTCACACCATTAAATAACACACTGCTCACTAGTCTATAAGTGAGAACAAAACAGCTACTGGAGCTGATAGCTTCCACCCACTAATGACAAATCATAAACAGATTTCACCATATGTGCCACACTCCTTGTAAAACATAATGCCATGAAGTGGTCAATAAAGCTGGAACTTCCTTGTATAGGAGACCATTTTATAATTTTTTCAAACAGAACTTACCATATTAAGAGCGGCTTCTGTAGTCTAGAGGTAATGTTCCCACCTCATGACTCGTGGTATGCAGGTTCAAACCTGGCAGAGGTCGTGGAATTTTTAAGGGCGGAAAAATTCAGGGAACAAGTCTTCCGGGAGGGACTTTAAGCTGTGGGTCCCGTGTCGTAGCTTTACAGCATGTAAAAGAACCTCATATCTCCAAACGAGGTCACTGAGCTAAATTCAAGGACATTTCCCGCCCAACAGTAGTCTCTAACGCCTCTGATAGATGGGGGAAGCATTATAGATACCGCCAAGCTAGTAGAGGCCGAACTCACTGGCTCGGTCGGGACTGATGGTATGCACCAATATCGGTAGGGTATAGAGACTGGTAGAATATCATAGAGGGAAGCACACTGGACCAATACTGGTCTCAGTGCATGGGGAAACCCACCCTCTCCAATAACTAACTAACTAACTACCTTATTAAGTGAATGTTCTGTACAAGAATGAAGAAAGTAGCCCGATTAGAGTTGGAGATTTATGTGACATCTCCTGCAACACTCATCCAAACACAAGCCTGCTTCACATTCAATGCACCAACCAATTGTTTTGCTTCATTTTCTGTGTCCTCAGTACACAAAATGTCTCCTCTGAGAGCCTTCTTTCATGTGGCAGGAATCTGCCTTAAGAAATGATGCTCAGCATCTGTCTGGAGGTGGTTCAGGTGAAAGATGGCCATGCAGAGAGCAAGGAACAGCAATGTGTGTTTCTCCAAAAGACCTTGCATCAGCAGAAGGCTGAATTTCAGTGGATCTGCTCCTTTATTGTACAGCTAAGATAGCACAGTAGGCATAATGATTGGCTACAGGCTGGACAACTGTGGGGTCAGAATTTGAGTCCCAGTAGGGTCAGGAATTTTCTCTTCTCCACGTTAAGACCACTTGCGGGGCCCACCCAGCCTCCTATCCTATGGGTATCAAGGGCTCTTTCCTTGGTTTGGTAAAGCGGCCGGCTGACCCACCCACCTCCAACTAGCGCCGAGGTCAAGAAAACGTGGACTGATATATCTTCTCCCTCATACATCTTCATGGTAAAAAAAAAAAAAAAAAAAAAAAAGTAAAGCTATCCCTGTAACAGGCCGTCAAGGCCCATAGGGTTGAGAGACATTGAGGGTCCAACATTATCTAAACCAAACGGCTCAAAGATAGCGGTTAGGTTGTCAGCCTTATGTGCCAGCCACACTTTACTCCCAAGGAAAATTATTTAATTAATTCCTGGTACTCATTTCTGTTAGAGGCTGAGTTGACCCCAAGGCCATAGTGCGCGTGGAAGGGTTAGGTAAGATGAAAATATCCAGTGACCTCATTGGGACTTGAACCCACGACCTTCCAGCTTGTAGCATAGTGCCTCAACCAACTACGCTATCTTCATGGTGCAGTGCTTAATTAGTTAAGCAAAGGAACAACTCTACCTTTTTACCTGATCCTTCATTGTTTAGAATGGACTGATACATTATTATTGAACTTTGAACAGCAACACTGAGTAATCTTTGAACAGTTTCATATACCACTTAGAACCTTTCTCTTGCTCAAGCAAATACAGCCAAGCCATAGCAGTTGACCTTCAACTGCTCCCACGCTCAAATTAGTCAGACACAACTGCAGCCATACTCCTATAACCCATGAATGCTGACAACACTGCTCTCCCTTCTTCAATCTCTTGTCTTCATGATGGGCAGGGGCAGACATTTTTCTTTTTAGTACATGAAATACCTACATAGTCTGTACCTTTGGATTTCAAGAATCAGGGCAACTCTGAGCAATTACAAAACATGTCTATCCACGCAGTGTGGCCATGACTGAGATGTTCCATTAGCTTGATAACAACTGCTGACATTGCATTTGTGCCTGGCTTTACATACTTATCTGTAAGTGTCATGCCACACCCTGCATATGAGTAAATAAGAAACACCAAACATAACCAGTGCTTCATTCACAAATTTCAAATGTATGCCAAACCTGGCAGCCTTTGATGGTGTGTACTACCTGAACAGGAAACAGCCCTTTCACAGAGTAAAAAATTTGTCTATTGCTATAATCTGGTTTGGAATGTACAAATTTTGAAATATATTATTCAGATGTTGACTGTGTAAATTTTAGAAGTTCAGGATGGCCTTCAGTTTCACTGTTTTTACTGTTACCAGAAATGTGAATGAAATTTGTATTAGTTCCAGCCTTTCCAAAAAGAATGGATGAAGAGCAGACAGTTCTCTGAATAGTATGACCTGTGTTGGTTTTTATACTATGCCCGTCAACATAAACACAGCTAAAACCACTTACATTTCTTCCACTGTGACCTTTTCCCACTTCTAATTGTAGAATAAAATGTAAACAACCACAGGATTTTTAGATTTCTTACTGTGTACATTTATTGGTTTCATTTACTTCTAGCTACATAACTACCATGACAAAAATGTTTTCATTTATGTCCACTATATCCCAATTAGATGTGTTGAACTGCTGGCTATGAATGACATATCAGCAATTCAATATCTAAATGCATTCCTGTATTCACTGCCTGATGATGGTCTTGTATGACCAAAACATGTAGCAGGAATAAGAAGTCTAACTGCAAAACATTAATAGCGAGTATATATTGTTGTGTGACTGTTAACCTAATTCNTCAAATCATGTCTTTACAACATATGCTCAAAATGGCTTCCCTGTTCAGCAATTCATGCACAAGCTCTTTTTACCATGTTTGAGAGCACTTTGTGGAGCACCTGTAAACTGATGCTGTTAATCACCATTGTAATGTGCCTCTTGAGGTAATCCAGTGTATGCAAATTGTTTTTATAGACAATTTCTTTCAGGTACCCCCAAAGGAAAAAATATGCAGATGAAAAATAGGGCAAACATGGGGGCCACAATCCTTTCAAAGGGAGACAGTCACTGAAAAACTTCCGCAAGAACTGCATGGTTTCATTAGATGTGTGACATGTGGCACCGCCTTGCTGCAACCAACACTCATGTTCATCAACTCCAAGAAGCGCAATAAGCTGTGTAATGATGTCTTAGTACACTGGACTGTTCACTGTTGTTTCAAAGAAAATTGGGCCCACTATTTGACGACATGATACAGCACACCACACTCCAATTTTCTGACAGAGCAAGGGCTTTTAATGTAATACATGTGGATTTTCAGATGACCAAATCCTATCATTTTGACTGTTCATGTAGCCACTAAGGCGAAACCACACTTTATCAGTGAAGAATGACTGGCAAAATAATATTGCACAATGAAAACTCGTTCTTGGGAAAATGACATGTCTGTCATGCAATACACATAGCTATACTGCAGACATCGTATGACCGATACATGACAGATGGTGTTTCTTGTTAGTACTCCTACGGTACCATCTAGCGGTAGGAGATATAATTATATTAACTGCAAGAAGGCCGCACCATAGCTCAAGTGATTAGTTGCTGGCTTCCCATCACGGCGGCCCAGGTTCAATACCGGGTCTGGTCAAGTGGGATTTGTGGTGGACAAAGTGGCGCTGGGGCAGGTTTTCTCCGAGTACTTTGGTTTCCCCTGCCACTCTTCATTCCACCAACTGCTCCAAAACCACCCTCACCTATCATCTGGGGCTGGTACAATAGGCCATAAGTAGACGCAGCACAAGGGACTTAGTCCGACCCCACTAGCAATACAAAAAAAAAATATTAACTGCAATACAATTTATAAGAACTTTTAGTTTGATGTGTGCAACTTTTCCATCTCCTGTATATCAGTAGAGAGCATAGAAGACTACTGTACCTGAATTGCGTATTCCACTTTTGTTCCAGGTCTCAAATCTCTTGAACTTGCAATATCTGTGGCTTGTTGTGGAGTTAGATGGAATACAAAATTACCCTCCTGCAACCTCTGTGTGCCTTGGGGAACTGTGTAAAAGACATTTATCCATCAATTTCAATATTTACCTCTAGAGGAGGGCCACATGGGTAACACGTTAAAGAGGAATTACAAAACTCTGGTGGCATCACAAAGCTATGCATGTGTTTCGAATATGCAGAGCTGTGGTATGATTGTATCTATGGCTAATATTTCAGAAAAGAACCAAAATAAAATACCACTAGAAAATAACACTGCCAAAACATGGGACCTCAACCAAAGACAGTGGGAATAACTTGTTTATTTTTTGTTCAGTATCTGTAGCCCACTCTGTGAAGTTGCAGCATGCATTTGTGATCCAGTAACACCTACAACCAATAATTTAATTTTTCACAGTATCATGCATACATCATAGTATGTTAGCACCTGTACCTTTCTTCTGCTGTAAAGATTAATATTTTGTGTGAAGTGAGTGTCTCAACTGTTTAATTAAAATTAAATATTTATTACAGACACACTATTGTATATTCACATATGTGATAAATACAGAATAGTGGCACAAACAGGAGTTTTGTTTACTACTACTGGCAGGAGTGCAGAAACAAAGATACAAACTATAATCCACAATCAATGCTTTATGGTGGTGTATGTGTTCAATGTGAACTGAAGCTGCTTTTACAATATTTGATATGCTCGATCATCATAACACATCTGAAGAAATATGTATGCTAAAATAACTGGCAGATAAAACTGAGAGGGTGATCTACATTACATGCATGATCACTCTGGCAAGTCAAAAAACACAGACATCAGCATACTCTCAATTCCAAACATCTTTATCTAATGAACACAGGCAGTCCATGAGAACACACTTATCATCAGCTCATGGAGCTGAACCCTTCTTGACAAGGTGCCACTTGTGCAGCCACTCAAGAATTTCCCAGCATTTTATGGAACCAAAAGGTTCCTTACCATGTTCACAAGAGCCCTCCACTGGTCCCTATCCTGAGCCAGATCAATAAAATCCATACCATCCCATTCTCTCTCTCTCTCAGTTCCACTTTAATATTGCCCACCCACATGCCTTGGTCTTCCCAGTGGTCTCCTTCCTCCTGGCTTTTCCACCAATATCCTATATGCAATCCTCATCCCCCATTCATGCTGTATGCCCTGCCCATCTCATCCTCATTGACTTGATCATTCTAATTATACTCTAAGAAGAATACAAGTTATGAAGCTCCTCATTATGCAGCTTTCTCCAACCTCCTGCCACTTCATCCCTCTTCAGTCCAAATATTCTCAGCACTGTTCTCAAACACCCTCAGTCTACGTTCCTCCCTTAAAGACAGAGACCAAGTTTCGCACCCATAGAGAACGACAGGCAAAATTATAGTTCTGTATATTCTAATTTTTATGTTTTTAGACAGCAGACGAGAACACAAAAGGTTCTGGACTGAATGGTATCGAATTACCCGAATTCAATCACCTCTTAATTTCCTCCTAAATCAGGTTTGGATTTGTTATAGTCATTCCCAAATATCTGAAATGTGCCACATTCTAATAACATGTTACCTATCTTTAGGTCATGATTTTGCCCTGCATTTTGATGACCATCCTCCTTACTAGCGTCAATTAAAATCTGTTTTTCTATATGGTACCTGTGGTATCTCCCAGTAGATTCACATCATCAGTATAGACCAGGGGTCTCCAAACTTTTCGAACCACAGGCCGCATTAAGTAATTCAGCAATGTCAACGGGCCGGATAAAATGAGAAATTAATAACTCTAGGTATATGAGTTTTATTGAAAGCATAGAATTTCATAAACTAGATACAAAGTATGTGAGAATAAATTATCGTATATTAATGATAACAGACAGTAGCAGCAAATGCTCATATTTTCATCACAAATTATAATAAAACAATTAATGTGAATGATGGAACTCTTTTTGCATTCTTAAAATCTGATTAAATTGAGGTTAAATTTTGAAATGCTAATCACAAGTAGCGACTTAAAATGTGCATCGGATAAATTTGCCCTGTATATCGACTTGATGTACTTTATCTGGGAAAAAGTTTGTTCACACAGATATGTCGTCCCAAAAAATGGAGATAAATTTACAAGCACATTTCTTTAAATTTGGAAATTTCTCAGAGTTCAGAAATTTATAAAATTCGATCAAATTTCCTTCCTTGTATTTGTCTTTAATATGATAATTTTCCTGAAGTTCAATAATTTCCATTTGAATTTGACTTGGGACATCTGCAGCATCACAGTCAAATGGATTTTGAAACAATCTAATTTCCTGAGCACTGGAATCCAAATCATCAAATCGCTTCTGAAATTGTTCTTTCAAATCTAAAATGACTAAATTTGCAAACAAGGAAGGAAATTCAGCTTCACCCTTTTATGCAACTCTGCACAGTATAGCATATGAACAAAGTTACAATATTTCACTTGGCTTTCCAGAAGTATCAACTTTGCTCTGAATGACTTGATAAGTGCATATAAATCACAGACTAAGTTATTTTCACCCTGCAACTTTAAATTCAAATGCTTCATATTGTAACGTGTTTCGTTACTGATCCCACTTCTGACACCAATGTAACGTGTTTCGTTACCGATCCCACTTCTGACCCCAGTGTAACGTGTTGCTGGTTTACTGAAGACGCCGTAGAGATGGTTAATTGGTTTATTTAACAATCTACAAGTAACGGCTACAATTACTTATCACACAGTTGCGGGTTTTCACACTTTATAACCCTAATCGCATTAATCTGTTAACACTGTTGCGGGGTTTCACGATTTATAACCCTATGCGCAAATCAGTTCACTCTGTCTTCAGTAGTCTACACGTCTACAGTAGGGGAGCTATGTATCACTGTATCACGCACTCCCAATTACACAATCACACGCACATCCAGTTCTTCTTTCCGCGACGGCTGCTATACTCCAACTGTAGTCGGCTGACTGGAGAACTGTTGATAACACACTCGCTCGTAGGCTTGCTCGGAACTAGCTCGGCGATGGCCACCTTACAACTAACTGGCCGACTGCTACTTAACTTGGCGATGCCCCCATTTCAACTGACTCGCAGCCGCTGTGCAGCTCACTTATATAGCTGCAGTGCTTGCCTGTTGCGTAATGAGTGCCACGTCATCCTGTTACGTCACCGCTGTTGACTCGCGTTGCATAGCTATCAGGTTGTGGGGGCTCGGCTAACTTCGGCTCCGCTTGTGACGTCACGGCGGGGAGAGTGGCAGGGTGATGACTCGCCTATTACGCGAGCCCTACGTTACCGCCACGTGCCACTGGGGAGGTAGGGGTCCTTCACTGCGCAACATGTCACAATATGGTTCACCAGATCAGCAAAACTGCTAATTTCCTAAGCCACTTGGTATCTGACAAAAGTGGTTCGTGATGATTTTTCTCGTTAAGAAATATATCAATTTCATTCCTGAGCTGAAAGAAGCACAAAAGAACCTTTCCACAGCTAAGCCATCGCACTGCAGTATAATATGTCAGGTCAATAAGTTCGGAATCACATTTACCAGTACTCACTGGAAAATTAGTTCAATTGGCGCATTTCTGCATAATTCTTTTGCGAGCCGGATAAAATCACACCGCGGGCCACGTGTGGCCCACGGGCCATAGTTCGGAGACCCTTGGTATAGATACCATACCGGGTAGGAGAATTATCAGACAAACGTTTATCTATATGGGCTTTACAATACATTTCGTTTAAACACATTTTAATTGGCCTGACTAGTTTCATGGGTATTCCAAACTCTATCAGAATACTGTACAATACTTCCTTCCTAACTGAATCATAGGCTTTCATGAAGTCTATGAATAGCTTACGCATTGTCTCATTGTACTCCCATTTTTTTCTCCAATATCTGATGAATGCACAAGATTTTATCTGTAGTTGATCTGTTACATCAAAGCCCACACTGATGATCCCCAATAAGTTTATCTATATATGGACTTAACCTTAAGAGAAGAATATTGGATAAAATTTTGCATGAAGTTGATAGCAGTAATATCCCACGATAATTACTACAGTCAGTTTTATCACCCTTCTTGTGAACTTGTACAATAATAGACTCCTTCCACTGATCAGGTAATTTTTCCTTATTCCAAATAGAATTAATTAGCTTAGAGAGCTTAGAAAGTAATATTTCACCTCCTGCTTGAATAAGTTCTGCTGGAATTTGAACACTACCTGGCAACTTATACCATTTCAATTTTTCAATAGTAATTTCAACCTCAAAAGGGCTAGATCAGATACCAACAGCTCAGCTGTATGGATTTATATCTGCCTAACATCACTGACCTATGGACATTCAATAACTGTGAGAAACAGTTCTTACACCCATTCAAAATGTTGTGGGAATCTGCAAGCAGATCACCATTCCCATCCATCACTAAGTTACTTCTAGGTTGGTAATCCCTCCTGAAGTCATTTGTTCCTCTGTACATGTCTCTAATGTTCTTGTTCTTACTGCTCATCACGAGCTAGTCAATTTTGTCTTTCAGATACTCCCTCTTTCTACTCCTGAAATGCCTGCTGGTTTCATGTCTTATATTGTTTGGATTATCCCCATTTATTTTGCTTGGATCCTATAACCATGCATCTGGTTTGTTTCTTTTGGTCTAATAATTTTGAGCATCCTTCATCAAATCATGGTTTATACTTCTTCAGTTCATAATAACCTAGACTCTCTTCAGCAGAAATTTTGATATTCTCTCTAATAATTTCCAAGCTTTATTAACATCCACCCCAGTGTCTAAGTCTTCCAAAGCTGCGAACCTATCTGACATTTCAACACGATACTACTCCTTACCTCCTACCTCGTTTAATTTCTTGACATTGAACCTCTACGTATGAATTCTGTGTGATGTTTGCTTACTCACTGCCAGTTTTTCCTCACTTTTGCGCCACCACCAGGTAGTGGTCAGTATCACATTCTGCTGGCCTGAATGATCGGACATCAAGTATACTTGAATACCATCACCTATCTATTGCAACATGGTCAATTTTACTGTGTGACTTCCCATCAGGAGACATCCAAGTAAATTTATGAATGTTACAATGTGGGAACATTGTAATTTGACTATAAGATTTTTTTATGTGGCAAAGTTTACTACTCTTAACTCCATTATCAATTTCGTGCAAACTCTCACTGCCAATCAGTGGTTTGAAAATATCTTCCCTACCTACTTTGGCATTGAAATCTCCTAACAAAATTTTCATATGGTATGGTTCAGTAATCATCATCTAACAAGTCACCAAATAATTTTCTACTTCCCCTTGGGTGTGTCACAATTTCCACTGCCCACTTTCTACGTGATGCAGAGGTAGGTGAAGCCTGTTTTCTATGTCTCTGCTTTGCAGCCTGCCATTGTTTCTTCATACAACTTTTTCTTTCCTGTCCAGTTGCTTTGTTACTTATCTTTACTCTGTTAAGTTTCAATGAAGTCTGCATGTATACAATAATTAATTCAAATGCTGGGACTTTCATTTACCCCATGGTATAACTTTCAATCATGTGTTTAAAAATTAATTTCATAAGGGCATACATTCAGCACATATCCCATCATACTGAAAAGTTAAAAGAGGTTGGTTCTTTTATAACCTGTATCTGTAAACAACACAACAAAGCATAGAGAAACTGGAAATGAAAGGGCACCAACACACATACAGGAACGTGTATTTTTTTTTATTGCTTAGTGGGGTGGGGCTGAGTCCACTTGGTACTGTGGCCACTTCTGGCCTATTGTACCAGCCCCAGGTGATAGGTGAGGATGATTATGGAGCAATTGGTGGAATGAAGATTGGCAGGGAAAACCTAAGTGCTAGGAGAAAACCTTCCCCAGCACCACTTTGTCCACCACAAATCCCACTTGACGAGACCCGGGATCGAACCCGGGCTGCCTTGGTGGGAAGCCAGCGACTAACTGCTTGAACTATGGCATGGCCATAGGAACATGTGTAACAAACACGATACCCCAGAAACGAAACGGTACACAAAAGACTAAATTTCTCACATTTAGTAACTGGTACTCTTAACAGATGATGTTTCATTACTTATTATTCACATTTAAATTGTGAAATAAAGTATACACACTACATACCCAGGCTTGATGGCTTCAGCAGTTCTCCCATCATATCAAAGAAAGGCAGGCGTTTTAGTCTCACATCTGGATGCACTGGGTAGTTGCTAGCTGTTGAGGCAGGTGGAGATGCCTTGGGCTGGTACTGGTACATGTTATTGGGATACATACCTCGAGGCTACAAAAGCAAATATGTCAAGATGTTGCAATGTGTGTGTGTATGTGTAAACTTCAAAATTTATCTCAGACAACTTTTAGTTCTTGATATCAGTGAACGATTTCCAGGATTTTAATAGGGGTGAAATACAAAAGATTATACAAAAATGTAAATGACTGCATTCATCTAGGTGAAGTTACTGTAGAAATGTTTTAAGTAACAATACTTTATTTTCTAATACCTCTAGTTAAGACATTTCGGACTTCCAGGACTCTGCCCATCTGGTAAGGATGAAGAAATCCTGTTCTGAGGTAGGAGTATTTACAGGCCAGAATTTTGCTATTCCCAATGATAAGATGGTCATGGTGGGAAGTGGAGTTAGTGATACTGATGATCATTGCTGTGCTTATGGTGAAGGCTGCTGTCACTATACTGAAGGTGACAGTGTTTGTCACAACCATCATGGTGATGGTGAAGATTATCATGGTGACCAGAAGGGAGAACATATAACTGAACCTAAGCTAATCACAATGGCATTCTAGTACATATAACATTCAAGACGTTCTGATGTTGTCAGAGGTGAGGAACAGGGAAGACAGAAAAATCGGCTCTAGATCCAATCAATCTTCTAATTAAGACATGGCTGAATATAATTAGTTCACTAAAACTGATCTTCTACATGAATGTGCATGAATACAAACCGGTTGTATCTGCCTATCAGCACCTTGACCTGTGTAACCAGTCTGCTGATAAACTGCATTGCGCTGTTGTGGTTGGGTATGCTGCTGCATTGCACTGTTATGAACTGGCTGCAGATCTCTGCCGCCTGTAGATGATGCCGCGGATGCTGCAGTAGGATTTGTCTGTTGTTGTTGTTGTTGTTGTTGTTGTTGCTGCTGCTGCTGTTGTTGCTGCAAGGGCATTAACCCACTAGCCTGACCTTGTCTGGAAAAAATGTCATACAATACAAATACTAACCCCTCCTATGTTTCTCAGATGGCAACTTATTAAATACTGGAAAAGACAGCTGTATTGTTGGGGATCAGGGTAGTGTCTCAGCTTCTGCCAGACAGGACAATTTTCTGCAAGCTGCTACAAACAACAAATTTCACTTCAACATTTCACATTGTGGATGTTTGGTGAGCTTATGACAATGATGTTAAATACTGAAAATAGTTCAATTCTTGCTTTTATGTTCAGCAAAAAGGCAAGAATAATAACAAGAGAAGCAGCAAAGTTTAAACAGAGATGGAGTGTCTTTCATACTCCACTGTACAGGCTATTTATCTAAGAGATGACTGAATGCTCATGCCTAATTAACTGGAAAGGAAGTAGTGATAGCCTACTTCTGGGTACTATTCGAGAAAATGTCTGCAGTGACTGAGGAAATGGAATAAAATGTCAACATGGCCCATACCTTGGCACACTTTCAAACAACCCTTCAGGGCAAATAATTTCAAACATCAATTGATCACAAAGCTGTGTGATAACCAAAGCCATGGATATGTTGATGAACACAAGGTAACATAAGAATGATGTAAGATGCACTTTAGTATAGTGTCTCTGGACTGAGTATATTGTACTTGTATTTTTGTGTTACACAGATGCTCCCTCTCAAATAAAGTGACATTCACTTAGGACATATACTTAACACTACTTCTCAAAGTTGGAATCAGCGTACATAGTAGAACGGCGTTCAAAGTTACGATGTGTGTGAGCTAGCTTGGTTTCTATAAACAGGTGCTCTAGATAAGTCACTGCAGGAGAGAGTGGTCTTATTCTGTCACCTCAGCTGGTAGGTTATAGCTCTCTCAACCAATGGAGTCTTTTTACTTAATTACATGACCACCTCTGTGGTCTAGCGGTCAGAGTTCCTGGCTACGGATCCAGAGGTTCCAGGTTCGATTCCTGGCACTACCAGATTTTCTGAGAAGTAGTGGGTCTGGAATGGGGTCCACTCAGCCTTGTGAGGATAACTGAGGAGCTCTTTCAAGGAAACAGCAGCTCCGTTGTAGAAAACCGAGATTAACGGCCGTGGGGATCTGTTGCGCTGACTACGCAACACCCTCTATCTGCTAAAGTTGGCACTAACTTCACCGACATGCAGCGGTCACTCAGTTAGTATAGTTCATTTGCGGAATACAGGCCACCGATTTTTATGAATTACAACAGTATCAGGGATCCCTAGATTTCTGTTTTCCAAGACTCTCTGCAGCTGTTCAGTTGTAATTCCCAGAAAGCACTTTGTAGCTGCTTTGTGGTCAGTATGCCCACAGGTCTTAACTGATCCTTCTGTATTTTCTTTTTCCATAACTGCAGACTGTCCATCTGTAAGAGCTATTTCTCTTTTCAGTTTAGTTGACCAGATGTACAGTATTTATCATCATCAGCAATGGCAATTTTTATCAAGGATTACTCTGCAAATCCAATTATAATTCCATTTAAGATTTTCCTTCATATATCGTTTTGTTTCAGTGATCCCAGGTGTATAATGTTAGTGCTGGATTACCTGAATTGTTTAGAATTTTCCTCAGTTCAAGGTTCAAATCCGCTGCCCCCAAAAGAAACCTCAGATGGAAGTTTCACTGTATATAAGGATAGCTGATAGGTAAATTGTCATAAATAGTTGGGTGGATTGTGGTAGCTCAGTCTCAAGGTTTGATCCTTCAAGTGTTGAAGATTGTGTTCGCCAACATATTCATGGCTTTGGTTCTCACACAGCTCTGTGATCAATTGATGTTTGAGATTATTTGCCCTGAAGGGTTGTTTGAATCTATACCAATCTATGGCCCATGTTGACATTTTATTCCATTTCATCAGCTAATACATGTGCATTTCTCATTCTCGTAATTCCTAATTTCACTTTTTCCTGTGAACCCTGATCTCACAGAATGGCTAGCAGTTAACACAAATATACTGCCTTACTTTAATGTTACCTTCTGAAGATTGTTTCCTAGCATCGTAAAATACCAGTATATGTACCGATACATGTAACAAGCCTTCCTTGTCAACTGGAATACAATCACAGTACCTTTCTTTGAAGTTTGAAGATGTGACAAAGCCAGCACCAGGCTCATTTCTTCGCATTTTAAACTCCACTGCTTGTTGAAAATGAGTTGGTACACCTCTGAAGATCAGTTTATGAAGACAAAATAATTCTTCACACTGTTCAAATATTCAAGTGCATCCTGAGTCATTCTGGCAGCATGGTATTGTTCTATTTTCTGTTGGTCTGGTCCATTTGATTTATTCATGTTTTATAAATACAGAACACTAGTATACGTTTCACTTCAATAATTTGCTAGCAGGATAAAACTTCTTCCATAAAAGTACTGCCAGTAATCAAAAATGTAGGACTGCGCCACAGCTCAAGCAGTTAGTCACTGGCTTCCCACCACAGCAGCCCGGACTCAATCCCGGGTCTGGTCAAGTGGAACTTGTGGTGGACAAAGTGGCACTGGGTCGGAGTTTTCTCCGAGTTACTTCAGTTTCCCCTGCCAATCTTCATTCCACCAAATTCTCCATCACCATAATCACCTAGGGCAGGCTACAACAGGCCAATCAGTAGCCGCCATGCCGAGTGGCCCCAGTTGGACTCCACCCCCCGATAAACAAATTAAAAAAAATTAACCAACAATGTATATATTTTTTGTGGCATCTGTAGATATACTTTGGTATGTCCTTTTCTATCTAAGATTTGCTGGATTCACAGATTATACCTATATCTATATATATATATATATATATATATATATATATATATA